GAAAATATATTTTGTGTACCAAATACTCACTTAAAGGTAGGCGTGAAAGGTGAATCTGAAAGGTTTGTAACTTGCAACTTGGAGGAGTCATCTTGGATTCACAGAAGTTCCCAAAATAATAATAACATGCCTTAACTTATCGAAGGATCTTCTTAAATCACTCCTGCGGCACTTCTCATGATCTGTATGTGAAGTAGGTTTTCAAGAACAAATTTCCCCACAACAGTATTTATTGGTGATATGAGGATTATTTATCTGCAATATATTGAACATAGAGATGAGTCTAATATGTTGCAGGAGCTTGAGAAATGTGAGAGGTTCATTTGGACATTATGATGTTTAACCTTCTTGAAGAAGCAATCTTTACACTTTTCACAGCCTACAAGAAGTGAATATTTGATACTAAAAGGTATTTCAGTATTTCTTTAAAACCTGAATTAAAGGTTGTTATTTATTTTAAAAGTCTGCAATAATTTACTCCAAATGCTCACTGCAGCACATGATGACCATTGGAAGCATGGGCCACATTAATGTAGTCAGGACCCTGGGTATCTGTCCTGGGGCCAGCCTGCAGATCGTCACTCAGCTCAGCAGTCAGGGCTCCCTGCTGGAGCACGTCAGGAACTGCAAAAACAAACTCAGCCCACAAAGGCTGCTCAACTGGTGTGTTCAAATCGCAAAGGTAAAGGACCAACCTTTTTTTGTTTGTCTGTGTGGGCTGTGTGTGGAGCACTAATTGGTCTTAAACGCAGTTGTCCTTTCTCATCAGGGCATGTATTACCTGGAGGAGAACAGGATGGTCCACAGGAACCTCGCCGCAAGAAATGTGCTCCTGAAGAATAATTACACAGCCCAGATTTCAGATTACGGCATTGCAGACCTACTTTACCCGGATGACAAGAAGTACTTTTACAATGAGGTCAAGGTCCGTAGCCCGGTTGAGAAAAGATACTCAGTAATATGATCTAAGTTCATTAACAGAGCCTTTGACATGAACTTATTTTGCGCACATTCACTGAACACTTGTTCTGTTGTTTTCACTGACGTAATGAATGAAGACATTCTCTTTTTACGTCTTTAGACACCAATCAAATGGATGGCCTTGGAGAGCATCTTGTTTCGCAGATACACACATCAGAGCGATGTCTGGAGTTACGGTGAGTTTTAAACCAGCTTACAAATCCCAGTTGGGGTAATATTGAGTGTTAATGAAAACAGAGGTGGAGGAGTGGATGTTCCCGCTGCACCAGTCGTGCTGTTTCATGCCACATTATATTTGTCCCCTTCATTTAGGTGTGACAGTGTGGGAGATGATGTCCAATGGGGCTGAGCCGTACACTACGATGCGCCCACAGGACGTTCCTGATCTATTGGAAACGGGCGAGCGTCTGTCCCAGCCTCAAATTTGCACCATTGATGTCTACATGGTCATGGTCAAGTGTGAGTGCTTGTCTTCGACACTTCTTTTACACTGGTCTGACCTACAAAATGAAAGCAGTAATACAAACGTATGTTAGCAGATGAATCAGAATGAAACACCTCAACGACTATTGGATTCAGATTCAGATTGCAATGACATTTTGTACAGTCATGATCTCCAGAGGATGGATCCTATAATTACTTTGGTGGTTGCCGGACATTTTCTTTTTCGCCACCAAAAAGTCCATTTTTGAATTTTAATAAATTGTCCTTACAAACTATTACATGTCAGCGCCATCATCGGGTCAAAATTGAATTTGTCCAATACTTTGGTTTATTCCCAAATACCTGCAAAACTAATGACTCTCACTTCAGGCTTTGTGTTTAGATCAAATTAGCAAATGTTAGCAAGCTGCACCAAGATGGTGAATACGGTAAAACATGAATACCTGCTGCTTAGCATTGTGATCATGTTTAAATGGTGACGTTAGCATTTAGCTCAAAGCATCGCTGTACTACCTCACAGAGCTGCTAGCATGGTTAAAAACCAAGTTGAGTTTATATTGTATTTAATTAGTTTCAGATGCTCCTTGTGGTGCATTGGTTTCATAGAAACGAGTGGCAAACTATGGCTTTCATTTTTAATTTCAAGGTTGGATGATTGATGAGAATGTCCGTCCAACATTCAAAGAGCTGGGAAATGAATTCACCAGAATGGCCAGAGACCCGCCTCGCTACCTGGTGATCAAAGTAAGAAAGGCTTTGTGTTTATCAGTATAGCCACCCAATCGGTAACAGCACTTGTTGTTTCTGTGGGCAGAATAGTTCTGTTTATTGTCGCACTTTAGCAAAAATGTACATGCAATATGCTAATTTATGTCTCACTTCTGTCCACCAGGAGGACTGCAACCAACAGGACTCGGCCCCTGATGAACTCGCCCAGCGGAGTGCAGACCTGGACGACATGGACGATCTACACATTCAGCTGGAGGACCAGAAGGAGGAGGCGGTGGTAGATGGTATGTCTCGAGCCCCTCACCACTTGTCTCAAGCCAGGAGCCTCAGCCGCCTCTCCAGGGTGGACACTCCCAGAGTAAGAGTCTTCTTGTCAATTTCATGGCCAGTTTACATCTGGAAATGTCTTTTCTGTCACCATCTAGATCTCACTCCTGTCTTTTCTTGTAAAGGTGATTATTTCTCCATCAAACGTGGTGGGTTACCTGCCTATGACCCCAGGTTTTGACAACCCAGGACAGGTAGCTAAAACGGTCTACTTTTTATATAAACTGTTTTGTGTATCTGAGCATAATTAGGTACTATTTAAATATATTATCAACAGCATCCTACTGCACATTCCTCTTGCCATTTTACGAATGCAGGTGTGTTGTCTTGTGTAGGCCGTGTGGCAGTCACGCTCTCGACTAAACTCAGCCCGCACTGTGTCCGAGAGCTCGGAGGGCTGCGGCACAGCAGTGGAGCTGGAGATGAGTGAGGACTTTTCTCTGGCTAGTAGCCCGAAGAGACGACGTCAACGCGAGGACAGCGCTTACATGTCGCAGAGGGACAGTATGTCCGGCGGGCCACCAGAGACTCCATCACCAGAGATGGAGGAAGAGGACCAGAATGGATATGTGCTTCCTGGAGACAGCCCAGAGAGAGGTGATAGCATCATTCATATTTGAAATATATTGAAATGATATAGTCAATCATCTTTCCTCTGAAATGGGTGTATATGTCTGTTAGTTCTGCCACCCTTTTAAGGAATTAATACAAATTGTCGAGGTTAATAGTATTTTCTTCGTAGCTCCTCACACATTACTCTCCTGCAAACCTCACTTTATCCACTTTTCTTTCTTTTTATTGTCAGAAACCCTACTTTCCTCATCTCGGGCCGGTCCTGGCAGGATGGGTAAGTCTCATTCGTCGGGCCTCCTGGATGACCCAGATGAAGAAGAATATGAGTATATGAACAAGCAGACATGTGTAACAGCTGTCTCGCCCAGGCACAGCAGCAACCGGCTGAAGCCGAACAAGAAGCGCACCTCCTCCGTATCGTCACAAGCTACAGCGTGCTCAGGTGACACCACACCGTCCGTGGAGGTCCGAGGAGGTCCCGCAAGAAGCAATCACAACTCCGATTCAGAGCAGCAGGGATCTAATGAAGTTGAATATGAATACATGGACATCAGGGGTAATGAAAAGGATGCAAGCCCTCCAGTGCCTGACATTCCTCCTCCTCCTCCGACACAAGCAAGGATGGGCAAAGAGGAGGAGGAGGAGGAGGAACAGGAGGAGGAATATGTGGAGGACAGTAACTATCATTACACAAACAGACAGCCGAAGCTGCGTCAAGCTCTTCGAGACAAGAAGGAGCTGAAGATAGAGGGAAAGGACGAAGACGGGGAGGAGGCGTATGAGTATGAGGACATGGACTCCTTTGCTGCCCTGCGGCCTGGAGATGTTGTGGTGTACCACAACCTGCAGAAAGGCAGGGAGGGAGCAGCAGGGGGCACAGAGGCACATCAATCTGGGTTTGAACCCTACGTAAAAGTGCCAGCTGGAGTCGGGGTCGGGGAACCTGCAGCTGTCGACAAATCTTTTGACAATCCAGACTACTGGCACAGCAGGATGTTTCTGAAGCCCAACGCCGTGCCTACATGAAGAACATTTTTAATCTCATGAAAAACATTTTTAATCTCATGAACTTCCCTCTGAGACTTAGTCATGAAGGACCCAAAACAGGAAATGCAATTTGCAGTTCATAATGTAGCCTATGACACAATTTCAAAAACCCAACCTGCTCGACTCTTCAACAGGCTCTGCTGCCTGTTAAAGGCCGACGTTATTTCTTGTATTCGGGCTTGTGATTTGGGGCGTTTCCAGAAATAAAAGCACTGAGTACAAGCTATATTTTTCTGTTTACATTTTGAAATGAACAAAGCTTTTATTTTTCAGAACAAATGTGTTTGTTTGGAGTTTGGACTTTTTATGTTATGAGACTGCTTTTAATGGTGGTATATGAAATACATTTTCCACTCATTAAAATATTTTGAACTATTCTGAAGCACCAACTTTTTTATTTTAACTTACCTATATAACATGACAATGTTTATGTGTGAAATGTGGGCTATGTTCTTCAGTCAGGTTTAATAATGAATGTAAAAAATATTTCTGGACCTTCTCAACAGTAATTTCACAAAAATAATTCTGAACGTTTTGTTGATTTATAGACATTTGGTGTAGCGGTTAAGCTCCCACATGGGCCACTGGGTGAGTTTCTGTGCTGGTCTGTAAATGTCCCCTCTTATTGGATCAATTAATGTTTTTCCAGAGCTTTCAGCCACATATCATGGCCTTCATCAGAGGATTGAGCATGTTCAAATTGTTTTTCTCAGCACATAAATGATTCCTTTGTAAATGTTCATATGGCACCTGACTATTATTTTATGTTAACTTATCCGTTAATACAACCTTGATATTGTTGAACAACGAATTGATGGATATGTTAGGCAGCATCCCTACATTTTGGCGGGTCGGAGTCGCTGTGACGTCGTTAGCGTCACGGTGAAGTGGGAGGGGCTTGGAGGGCGGGTGTTCGCAGCAGCCGTCGGAGTCGTCCTGAGCTTTCTGGCCCACTAGCGACTGAAACTTCACTGCCAAGATGTCCGACGGAGAGCAAGAGCAGACCATAGCCGAGGACCTGGTGGTCACCAAGTACAAGATGGGTGGTGACATCGCCAACCGTAAGTAAATGTAACTACTAGCCGTTGGTGAACGGCCTGTCGTGCACCAAGCGGACGTTAACGGTAGTCTCCTCACACAGCAGCAGCCGTGTGGGTTACATGCGAGGCGCACGTATGCTATCCTAACTGGCTAGCTAGCTAGCAGATACAGTTGGTTCAGTCCTAGCTATGGCTAGCTCATCTGTTACTGCTGACCAACATTGACGTTGTGTGCTTTACTAGAGAGAGCCGTCTGTTTGTTTAGCTAACGTAGGATGCTAACTAGCTAATGAGCTATCTCAGCCTGTTGCAGTCAGCTACGGTAGGAGCAACCGTTGAAAGATAAGCAGGAAGTCACCGATATGAAGCCACTATGACGCTAGTTACATGCTGACCTCTTTGTGTTAGTTTATTCATGATGGTGATCTGTTTAACTGACATAACTGACAAGCTGATATGTCTGCTACAGGAATAATATGAGGTCAAAGTTACAGCATGTTACTCTAACACTATTCAGATGACAGTGTCGTTGCTGTAGGAGATATGGATAAAATCCTCTGTCACACAGTCTATGTGATTTTTAAGTTATGAGTTGTAAGTATTTACATTTTAAGTAACTGCTTCGAGATGACAGAACTAGACAGTAATGTGTGTTTTTGGCAAATCCATGACTGGAGTACATGACAAACGAAGTTCTGTCATCATATTCATCAAAATCATAATAACATTAATATTATAAAGCTGTTTTGGATTTGCAAAATTGTCTGCTGATATATAAAAGAGGTCGTTATAAACGGTACTACTAAATCACTCCTGCTTGACAGACGTATGTATGTATATGTAGTCATATCACCCAACCCTATTCAAAAACTAGAGTTTGACAATATTGACAAATTCAATTAATCACTACTTTTGAGTCAGTACTCTGACAACTGATGGTGTTACACTATGGGTTCGTTGATGTGATCTCTCTGAAAAAAATATGATAAATTGTGTTCATTTCACTCCGTGTTAACACAGTCATTTCACTATAACTCATCTGTTTTAAACAATACCTAATGTGATATCTGCTCTCATACCAGCTCCACTTGGTTCCTCTTCTGCACCTCTTGATCATTTGTCTTGTGTGTCTGTCTCTCCCCCCCCCCCCCCCCAGAGGCTCTTCGTCTGGTTGTGGAAACAGCCACTCCCGGGGTGTCGGTGCTCACCCTCTGTCAAAAGGGGGATGCCTACATCATGGCTGAGACTGGAAAGGTCTTCAAAAGGGAGAAGGACATGAAGAAAGGTGAGCCAACGATGATACGAGTGAGTCTGTTGTCATTCGGGTGCACTGAGATGGACCCATCAAGAAGAGTCTCGCTGCAGTCAAGTCATTCAAATTGCAGACCCAAGTGTCACTCCCTCCATCCGTGTACACTTTTTTTGCTAAACTTGTGGATGATTTCCAAATGAAGACTTGGTGGTTCTCCTTTCCCTCTTCTAGGCATTGCCTTTCCCACCAGCGTCTCAGTCAATAACTGTGTTTGCCACTTCTCTCCCCTGAAGAGTGACCACGACTACACACTTAAAGATGGGGATCTGGTCAAAATGTAGGCACCTCGCTCTGAAACAATGTCACCCCTTGTTCTTCCATGTGTGTCACGAGTCTGTTGTCCTCCCCTCGTTCTATGTGACATCTTGGCTTGTGTGTGGGGGTATTATCTTGGCTGTTGACTGTCTGCTTCATCAGTAATGTCTCGTCTTCCTGTCTGTCCTGTGGCAAACGACAAGTAAGGTTGGACACTTTTAGAACATGTCTTTTGCTGTTTTTAAAGTGATATGTTGGATTTTAGCTTTGATGGCCATCCATCTGCTAAATCCTATGTGTCACATTTTTGTAATGTTGTGCTTTGAAAAAGGAAGTCAGCTTATCTTAGTTGTTGTATTGCCACATACATTGTTGTCCTCTGTGTCGTCTTTTGTGCTGCGTGTGGATTTGCGATGTTTTAAAGTTGTTTGTTGCTCGTAGTAATGTAGTTGCACACTAGGTTTGTGTCTTTCTCACTTTTCGAACACTCACAAGCTAGCCTTCTGTCTGGTTTATAAATTTTAGTGCTGCTCCCTTGAATTCATAATAAGTCCTTCACTGTACTCCAGCTCATGTACATCCAAAAATAAATTAACTTTGGAGTATATATTCCGTGTAATGGCCATAACAGATTAAATGTTTTGTGTCTGACCTTCTTTATTAGTCTCATTTTCCAAAGTACAGGATATTCTGTCCTTTCTGAGTTTGTTCCTGTCTCAACATTTGTAAACTTGATAGCCGCTTGGCAGTTAAACTTATAAATAATTTGGCACAGGATCAATTTGATTTCATACTCTCATCTCTACTTTTCCTCTTTATTTTGTGTAGAGATCTAGGAGTTCATGTTGACGGCTTCATTGCCAATGTTGCTCACAGCTTTGTGGTGGGAGCCAGTAAGGTGAGGAGCTCTTCCAAAATGCTGCTTTTTTTTCACCGTTTTGTGTCCTCCTGTGGAGCCCTCCTGTAAGTCCTCTTCTCTCCGTGTCTCGTTTCTGCAGGAGAACCCCATCACAGGCCGGAAAGCTGATGTAATCAAAGCGGCCCATCTTTGTGCGGAAGCAGCTCTTCGCCTCGTTAAACCTGGTAACCAGGTACATGGAACCTCTTCCTCACAGTTTTCTCCGTGTCCGCCTTAATGATGAGTTACCTTCTCTACGGCTCTGGCTCATGAATAGATTTACATCGGCTTTTAAAATGTATTCTTAAGAATTAAAACTCTGTTTTTTGTCAGTGTGTATTTTCTGCTAAACAATTCACTGCTGAGCCTCGAATAGTTTTGCTCTGCTGCTCCTCACTTTGTTTGGTAAGTCGGTGCAAAACTGTGTTTTGCATGTGAAAGTAACGCATTTTTCTGTGTCTCAGAATTCTCAAGTGACAGAAGCCTGGAACAAGATTGCTCAGTCATTCAAATGCTCACCTATAGAGGGTGAGTGTCCATGAAAAAAAGCATTCAGAGCAACAGCAATGCTGTATTTGTATCTCTTCAGATTTGTTGATGTAATGTGAAGACGATGACTGTTACAGATTCATAACATGCAACTGGATGTTTTATTACTATTTTTTTTCTGCCTGGTTTTTCAAGGTATGCTGTCGCATCAGCTGAAGCAACATGTCATAGATGGAGAGAAGACAATCATTCAGAACCCGACAGACCTGCAAAGGTACATTTAGTCGCTTTTTACACACAGGAGGAAGAGGGGTGAATCTGAGGCGTGCTGTTGGCACAGTCACGCAGATGCAAAATTTACCTTCAACTCCTGTTTACTTCCGTTTTCTGCCAGAGAAGGGCATTCGCTATCGACGAAGAAGCAAATTCAACTTCAGTGAACTTTCAGCTCGAATCTATAACAGTGCCCTGTGGGTGTTTTGAACTGTAGTAAATCTCTTAGACTAAAGATTAACTTGAGTCTCACGTTTTGTGTCCATTTAGTCACACAGAGTGTAGATAATGGGCAATGCCTGAATGTATCAAGTGGGATTCAGTCCTTTCAATCAATATCACGTTAGTTTGATGTTGTGAGCTCTGAGACTTCTATCACAGAACCAATATAATGGAAAATAATGAAATTTGATTTGTGGTTCTGAAACCAACCAACCAAAATTACATTTGGAGAAACTCAACAGCAAATTGTTTTAGTTTTTCATTGGCTGCTGTTGACACTCAATTTCAGGAAGGACCATGAGAAGGCGGAGTTTGAGGTACACGAAGTCTATGCTGTGGACGTCTTGATAAGCACCGGAGAAGGGAAGGTCAGTGTGCTATCTAGTCCTTCTTGATTCATACCCATTGCTGCCAAAACTGTACCGAATGAACACTTAAAGAACACTCTTGTCATTTACAATAAGGCCAGAGATGGAGGTCTGAGGACCACCATTTATAAGAGGGACCCCAGTAAGCAGTATGGCTTGAAGATGAAAACGTCCCGTACGTTCTTCAGCGAAGTTGAACGGCGCTTTGATGCCATGCCTTTTACTCTCCGGTATGAATACCACACTTTATGTGTCACTACTAATATGCATAGTCCACCACGTGCTGACCTTTTGAATAGATTGACAGCGTTGAATATTAAAAAACATACTTAATTCCATTGTCCGTTTTCCGTCAGAGCATTCGAGGATGAGGCCAAAGCCCGTCTGGGTGTGGTGGAGTGTGCCAAACATGAACTGCTACAGCCCTTCAGTGTGCTACATGAGAAAGAGGGTGAGTATTTACCTCTCTACTTTATCATGTTTTTGATCTTTAACATTTCCCTTTTTGATTTACTGCCCCCCCCCCTACTTTGTGTGTTTTCTCAGGAGAGTGTGTAGCTCAGTTTAAGTTCACAGTGTTGCTGATGGCCAACGGGCCTCACAGAATCACTAGCGGAGACTTAGATCCAGAGCTCTACAAGTCAGAGCATGAAGTTCAGGATGGAGATCTACGGGTAAGATTGTTGTTTCACATACTTTACATCAAGCTCCTTCATCACACAGAAACGGGCTGCTTTGAACATCTTATTACCTTTTATTGGTAAAACGTCTCTCCTCTTCCCCAGACTTTACTACAGAGCTCTGCAAGCCGTAAAACACAGAAGAAAAAGAAAAAGAAGGTAAATTATTATTCAAACAATGAACCCTCATGCTGTCCTACAATTGACCTTGACTTTTGTGTCGCCTCACTGATCTGTTTCCCCCCCCGTTTCACATCCCACAGGCCTCAAAGACAGCAGAAAATGCAACTGGACAGCCGACTGAGGACACGGAAGCCGTAGAATAACAAAATACTGCCTTTCCACACATGCAAGACCCCAAAGAGAAGCAGGAGGAAACATGACAAATTGCCCCAAACTCTCTGACCTTTCATTTCACAAATTAGATGGATTAATATTAGATCCTACATGGATGCTTAACCCTTTACTGCAGTCACTGAAAGTACCGTGTTGCTTTTTCTTCGCTTACTTGAGTAAGAAACAAAGAATATTTGCGAATAGTTTTGCATCTTTGAAAGTACATGCTGCCAAATGGTACGTGTGCGACGGGTGCCTGCATTGTTTTACTTAAATCATTTTTTGATCCTCTTCTTGCAACTTTCAAGTAAAACTGAAGCTTACAGTTGGCATTAAAGGAAGTGGATCATTCTGTATTTTTGACATCCAATACAGTAAAGGATTATTGGATGAAACCAACAGAAACATGGTTCACAACAAGTTGTCTGAACTTGTTTATATGTAAACAAAGATTTATAGTGAATATACGAGCACTTTGTCACCTCTTGTGAGTGTGAGAATCACGTGATGACGGGTTTATTCATCCAGTGCTTTATTGAAAAACAGACCTTTAGCATTTTAAAATGTTTAATCAAAAGCATTTTTCCTTAACTTCACTATGCAGTAAAGGGTTGAACTTTAATTATGACCAAACAAAACAGTCAAATGATCACAAGGACTGTAGTATAAGTAAGTGTTTATGGTTAGTCTTCCATCATCAAGGCCTGAACACATGTAGCTGAAACTAGTGTTTTAACCACACTATTTTAAAGTATTAACCTGAGCAAATCACTGGAATGTTTTTAAGAATACAAGCAAACATCACAGTTGTAATCGGCTCTACTTTAGGGAACAAAACCGATACATTTACTGCCATTCCCCCTGAATTTTATGAAAGCATAGAATCTTATATGTTCTACTTTTGAAAAACTTTTCTATTGCTTTACTACATCATTGGTCTTGTGAATCATGAAATTTAAAGCTGACCGAGTTTTAAAAATAGTTTTTTTATGGGCGTCTTCCGTGTATTTGGACCAGTAAGAGATCATTTCAGGTCTGAGTTTCATTAAGAGGTCTGAGTCAGATTGTTCAACAGCTGAATATGTTGAGAAAAGTAAAATCCTGCTTTGTAGCTCAATCAGTGGGCAATGGAACTTTACATCTAATGAAATAAAAACATTTTCTTACATATGTTGGTTTTCTCTGAAGGTTTTTGTCAAAGTTCAGTATTGGAAATGTCTGCAATTAATTATCAATGCGACCTGCCTACTTAAGTCCAAATTGTGGTGGTGTTGAAAGAGAAGGAATGACCATTGTTGGAAATCAATGACCTGAGCTTCTTTATTACAACATTAGATATTCAATTAGTCTGACATACCTGCCTAGTGATTTGATTGATTTTACCATATCATGGATATTTATAACACAATATTAAATTACTTATAGCCTGCCTTGATAATGAAGTATTGTATCTATATCACCGTCTCCTGTGCACCAGCATGGTTTTGGTATACATATTATTTTAGATGGATACTTTTTTCATCCCCTGGGGGAAATTTATTTGTTTGCAACAGCAAAGATATACTTCAGCAAACGAAGTAACAGAGTAAAGATATTAAGTATGAAAAATGCACAATATATACAATAAAATAACAGTAGAACATATTAAATATAAAGAAAATAATAGAAATGCACTGTATATACAATGAAATTGTGTTAAATTAACTAACTAGGTAAACTAAACAATAGTGCAAAGATCAAACAGTAGCGGTGTGTAGTTACTGTATGTAAAGGATGATCTTGCCAGAGGTGATTTATTATAAAGTCTTATTGTAGTTGGTAGGAATGTTCTCCTGTATCTGTCTGTCTGTCTGTTGGAGAAAGTGCTCCGCTGGAGAGGGTGGTCCGGGTTATCCAATATGGATAGCAGTTTCTTCAGTGTCCTCCTCCCCACCACCTCTTCCAGATAGTCTTGTTTCCAATGATGGAGCCGGCCATCTTAACCAGTTTATTAAGTCTGTTGGTGTCTCCGGCTCCAATGCTGCTCCCCCAGCAGACTACGGAGAAGTACAGTGCACTGGCCACAACAGACTGGTAGAACATCTCCAACATCTTGCTGCACACGTTGACGGATCGAAGTTTCCTCAAGAAAAAGAGTCGACTCATCCCCTTCTTGTACACAGCGTTGATGTTGGTCTTCCAGTTCAGTCTGTTGTCGATGGAGACACCCAGGACTTGTACTCCTCCACCATGTCCACGTCCTCTCCCAGAACTCTCAGCGGTTGTGGAGCCGTCGTCTTCATCCTGAAGTCGACCACCATCTCTCTGGTCTTGGCCACGTTCAGAAGCAGGTGATTTCCACCGACCCACTCCACAAAGTCATCCACTACTGCCCTGTACTCCTCCTATACACCCGACCACTGCAGAGTCATCAGAGAACTTCTGCAGATGGACCCTGAGTTGTACTGGAAGTCAGTGGTCTACAAGGTGAACAGTAAGGGAGACAGAACAGTTCCCTGTGGGGCTCCAGTACCACTGACCATCAGACAGCACACTGCCCAGTCGGACAAACTGTGGTCTGCCTGTGAGGTAGTCAGTGATCCAGGAGACGGTGGATGCGTTAACCCCCACCACCCGCAGCTTCTCACTCAGTAGCACTGGTTGGATGGTGTTAAATGCACTGGAGAAATAAAAAAAGTGATTCTCACAGAGCCACCGGTTCCATCCAGGTGCGACTGAGCTCGCTGCAGCAGGTAGATGATGGCGTCGGCCACTCCCACATGAGGCTGGTATGCAAATTGCAGAGGGTCCAGTGAGGATTTCACCTGTGATCGGAGGTGGGCCAAGACCAGCCTCTCCAGCACCTTCATCACATGTGATTTGAGGACAAGTTGAGGCCAGATGGAGTTGGAGAAGTTGTGCTACAATCAATTAGGAAGTAAATAGATTTGTTTTTTTGACAAATTAAAAAATCTAATAAAATTTCAAGACCAATGTAGTAGCTGTTCTGCAGCTTTTGAACATTGCATACAATACTTATCAGCAGATTACGGTCAATTGCATTTCTGTATTTATTTACTTTACTTTACTTGAATTAACTCGTCTGTTAACTTGTCAGTCAATTCAGTAGTTAAGAGATAAAACTGTGAAGTGAAATGAAACCTTTTAAAAACAAAACATCAGGTCAATTTATTTCCAGAATAAAAACCGCTCTTTTACTATAATCGTCTTGAAAAGTGGATATGCCATTAAAATAAGGCGCCATATGTCAATAAAAGTACTTAGGAGTAGGAAAAACACACAAAAAAAAAGTGGTGTAATTAGCTCACAGGGAAATGTAGTTTTAATGACCATGATTGCGCAACATCTGTTGTTGAACATGACGTCAATACCCGTATAAATACCGCCCTCTTCCTTCGTCACATCCTCTTTCCGTTGCTCCTCTCGCCTTGAGGTAGGGAACATCTCTCCTCTGCCAACTGAATCCACACAAATCCTCACATTTTACAAATCATCCACAGGCACTAATCATTTAATTGTTTTGTTTTCACAGAAACTTCTCCTCACGATGAGAGCTAAGGTAAGTTGACCTGCAAATATCAGTATTTTTGTGATTTTTACGTCCTCTTCCTGTTGGTCAACGACGCTAGCTAACATCAGAATAGCCTCTCCTGTGCTTTATCTCGTCTATTGACTGAACATGTTTCTCTAACCTTGTACTGGGTTTATAATGCGTTTATTTACATGTAAATCTACACTATTTGTACAATAAATGTGTTGAGTAGTAACGTTAAATGCTACTGCGTGACGAAGGCCCGCCTCTGTTGCACGCTCTAATGTTAGCAATGCTAACCTCAATGCTGTTGTGTCTCTAATGCGTTTATGGTGGAAGCTCCAGTCAAGGTCTTTGACACATATTACTGTTGGATGCATTTTTGTACCAGTGCAGTGCGAAGTCTCAGTAGTATATCTGCATCATGTAAAGCGTGCTGTCAGTCTGTAAGGTGAACAAGCATGACAAACGTGACTGCACCCTAATAAATACCCCTCTTGTTTTCCAGTGGAGGAAGAAGCGTATGCGCAGGTGAGCATTATTGATCCTCTTTGTAGGAACTGCTAGTTCCCACTTTAATGATTTTGATATCGCCTACCATTAATTAAACTTGTCCGTCTCCATGTATGCCATAATTACTGCATTCAGTTACATTTACAATTCAACACAAACACTTGATCAATGACTGGAATTTTGTTCAATGTCTAATTCAAACATTGCATTAATATTGATTGGCAGTGCTGGGTTACCAATTTTTAGTTGGGTGTCTAATTTTAAATGCTCACCCATAGTTCACTACTCGAGTCAAGTGCTGATTGGAGCCTATTCGACACATGTACATGGTGCTATTGAAATTTCAATAGATATATAATATAAATATTTGTCTGTGAAGATCAGTTATTTCTCAATGGGTCAAAGTTACAACTCATGATTTCCAGATAGCTTGATCCATTTCACAATTGTTTTTCTACAGGCGTGGACACTTAAACTGCCATTTACTGTTTTGACAATTGAAAGGAGAGAAGTGTATGCTTTCCTATACAGGACTGTACCAAACACTGATTCCCGATATTAGCATAACATTAAAACTAAATCATGTCACTTGGCCATTCAAATTTTGTATTTTTTTTGGGGGGGGGGGGGTTGCAATAAATCCAGATTTTTGTACTGTTTTATGGTAGTTGAGCAGCTAACTTCTAAAAGTTGCTGTTTTTTTGTCAACAGGCTGAAGCGTAAAAGGAGGAAGATGAGGCAGAGGTCTAAGTAGGCCCTCATCCATGCCAGCTGTGGTCCCGTCGGAGCCTCTCCAGTTGACTGACCCATGTGGCTGAAGTGAAGCCTCCATCGGTGGAACGGAGGCCTGAACCCTGATCTCAGATGACTGCGCACCTCATGGAGACTGCTGTGAAAGTCTGACTGGAAAAGGAGACGATGCTGGACTATCAACATCGGAACTACAGCTGCTTTGTTCGCGGCTAAAAATACATGTTTACCAACAACTGTCATTCTGTGACGTATTGAACAATAAACGAACACTGTTTAAAATTTACGACAAAGTTGCGTCTCTTGATATATGTGACTATTTACATATTTGTCCATGCATGTCTCGTATAACTTACTCTTGCTTGACTATTAATTGCGCCACATGTTTTTTGGGGGGGGTTGGGTTAGTCATGTACCTCTGTACTCGTGTAAGTTTCGATCACTTCAGAGTCGAGCATTTATTTCTTTTAATTTTGATTATGGCTTCCAGCTAATGAAAACCCGAAATTCTGTCTCAGAAAATTAGAATATTGTGGACTTGTGGTGTCGCACTCTAATCGGCTAATGAAAAACACCAAAGGTTTCCTGAGCCTTTAAAGGGTCTCAGTCTGGTTCGTGGGCAAGACTGCTGACTTGACAGTTGTCCAGAAGAGTCATTGACACCCTCCACAAGGAGCCACTCCTGAACGAGACGTCGGAAGCATCTTACCTGGGCTAAGGCGAAAAGGTGTTGGTCCACTGTTTTATCAAGTCCAAAGTCAGTGCAGCCGTCTACCAGGAAATTTTAGACCACTTCATGCAAATTAAAAGAAATAAATGCTTGAAATATATCACCCTTTGTGTAATGAATCTATATAATATATGAGTTTCACTTCTTGAATTGAATTACTGAAACAAATTAACTTTTTGATATTCTAATTCATTTTGATGCACCTGATGAAAATGAACTGGAGAAGGTATAGCAACTAATTAACTATCAACCCTAATGTACATGGCTATGTTTCCTATGTAGCTTAATTTCATTTATCCAATTGTTTCTACAGTTTGTACTGCTGAACTGGGACTTCAGGTGCTTTACAAATAAAATTGCTTTGCTGTGTGATGAACTGAGATTCATTTGAAATGTATCTGAACATGGCTCTCTGGCTCAAACTACTACGCTTTAACTAAAGCAGTTTAAATGAGTAAGAACGCATTGTTTTGTTGTAGCACTGGTGGACACCAACAGCATGCTTCTATTACACACTATGAGTTTACTGTATATACGATTGTGTGTGTCACACTTTTGTTTGTTTAATAATATAACATTCTAGTTCTTAGTGCAAGTCCTGCATTAACATTTTTACTTTTATCAGCAAATTTTACTTTAAGTATGAAAAGAAAAAGTGTTCATTATGCAGTCAAAGGCAAAGTAACTGTAGCTGGGGCTCAATAGAAGCTGTCAGATAAAAGAAGTGGATTAATAGTTATTATTTACTAAATAGCTGCTATAATAGAGCAGAGATTTTCTCATAAACGGGGCACTGGTTGAGTGACTGAGGGGGGGGGGTCATGGAGAACAACAAAAGTTAAATAAAAATATATTTTCAAAATTGGGGCGCTAAAGTGGGACCATGACATAAAATGTGTCGGAACCAGAGACACAATCTCTGTATTATTTTAATCTGCGTAATTGAGCTCAGTGTTGAGTCTGCGTGACGCGTCGACAGGGGGCGCACGTGACCCGTTGTTGATGCTGCACACTGAAGACGCCGTAGAAGAAGAGTTCGTATTGTAAACACAAGGATATGGCTGACGAGAGGGGTGGAGGTGAAGACAACGTTAACGACAACATGGGGAACCAGTTACAGCTCTTACCGGGTAACTGTTACATGTATTACATGACTGGTCGGTGTCTCAACAGGAGAGCGTTCATCTCTTCGCCCTGCTAACAGCTAGCAGCGAGCTAACGTTTCTTCTCAACAGGCCACCGTCAGGCATCACATCCCGACTGACACATCTTATGCTGTCACTTTCTGTTCATGTTTACCATCAGAGGGACTCATTAAGATGATGAAGCTGTAGCTTGGTTGGGAGACGTTAAAATGCCGCTGTGCTTTGCCGTGCCTTTTTAACAGACAATGAGGAAGAGGAGGAGGAAGATGACATGGAGACTGAAGACCGAGACAGCGAGGGAGCAGAGAAGCCCACCCTCATCACCTTTGACCCCAGTCTTCCCACATCCCATGCCGTGAGTGATGCCACTGACACGTTATTCCTCCACATGTTTACTGTCATTGTTTCCTTCGCAGTGTCTTTATAATCACAGAGCTGTAAAGGTAGTTTTGTGCAGCTGTCGTTGTGTTGACTCATGACCCCTGTGGTGGCAGTACCTGGGTGCAGACATGGAGGAGTTTCACGGCCGTACAGTCCACGATGACGACAGCTTTCAGACCATCCCTGTGCTGCCACACACGGCCGTGATGCTGGTCCCGGGTCAGACGCTGCCACTGCAACTCTTCCGGCCGCAGGAGGTCAGCATGATGCGGAGCGTCATCCAGAGAGACCGCACTTTTGCTGTGCTCTCACACAGGTAAGAAGCATATGCAAAGGAAGCATTTGGTGTATCAGTTAAAGGGTTTACCAGTCATTACAGGTGCTTTTGTGACAATTAAAAACTGTTTTATGATGTTTCTTATGAGATACTTGAAGAGCTTTTTAACATCTGAGAAAACATTCCCCCATCCTTATAGAAGCACAACACTGAATGACTGAAGTACCCTTTGGAATTATTTTTGGATCTTAATTTTAATGGTTTTATTTGGTGTCTGTTTCAGCAGTGATGCAGGTGACTCGGAGGCAGAGTTTGGGACAACAGCTGAAATCTATGCGTACCGAGAAGAGCAGGAATATGGCATTGAAACTGTCAAAGTGAAAGCTGTAGGCAGGCAGAGGTTCAAGGTCCACGAGATAAGAACTCAAGCAGACGGGTAAGTTTAATTGCCTCATAAACCAAGTTAGGGTTAGATGCATGTGCACATTTGACTTTGCTGTCCTCTATGAATGAAGACATAAACATTGTGTCGTGGTCCTCACATGAAGTGAGCCTGTGGTTGTCTGTAGGAACCCTGCAGGTTTGAATGTTATTATCCCTCCTATTTTGAGTGCAACACGACAAATTGAAAATATCCGATTTCCTCTGATTTTCTTAGTCGATATAAACCATGAAATCAAACGTCAGTTTTTTTTACTTGCATCATATGTGATGAGTATTTTACTCAAAGAAGCAGACTTCATGGAAAACACGTGGAAATGGTCAAATGTCTTGTAAGAGATGATTTCAGGGATAAGTTACAGCCAGAGACTGCACATCTTTTAAATCAGGCTTTTGTTTGACGAGATGTTGTCTGTCAAACCAGTTGGATCATCACTCAAAATATTCCTTAGATATTATCTCTAGAAAAGAGTGACAACCGTGTTCTAGTGTTTGTCCTGCTCTTTGTTGCAGCCTGTTAGTCAGGACTCAAGTGGTGTTCTCACAGTTCACAGCTAGAGGGCAGACTAACTATTCACAGTCATCCTCAAAAAGTAAACTGAGAACATCATCCTCAGCTTGCGATGATTGTATCAGTGGAGTAACTACTGTAAATATACACATTCAGGTTCTTATACGAGATGTTTTGGTTGTGACTTGTTTTATAAAGATGAGTTAATTGTGGTTTTTCTGCTACATACTCTGGAGATGGTTTAGTTTACTTTATGTTCTTTGAGCCTCCTCTTGTCGGAGCGTACAGTAAAGGACGGAAGCATCTATGGAGAAACGCCGCCTGTCTAAGTGTTGTGGTGGGACTGTAGATCATGTCTACTTATGTCCTCCACTGTTCAGGACATTAATGAAGTTTACTGTCTATAAAACTGGGTCTTCATACAGAGAGATTTCCCTCTTTCTTGAGTTGCTGTTGTGTAATGCACATACATTGGTTGCCATAATCCTGTTAACCTGTTGTTGTACTGTAAGTGACCTCAGCAAGAATTAAAATGATCTTCCTCTTAAATGGAATCGGCTGTTGTGCCCTCGGAGGTGATGTGTACTGAATATTGATATTGAATACCCTTCTCTTCCTTTCTGAAATGTTCTAAAACATTTCTGAATGTTCATATTTTGGATCGCAGAAACACATATTTGGAAATTCAGTTCCACTGCCATCATATTATGGCAGCAGTTTAGTGGCTTTTCTTTCTGTTTGTGCATTAAGTAGTTAGAAATGAAACGCTGCTTTTTATCTTTTGGCAGGATTGAACTACACACCATTTTAGTTGTGTGTTGTGATTCATGGCTACACCTAAAGGTGTTTTGTTGTTCATGCGGCGTTGCTTAGTGCATGTTTGTCTGTCTGAGCTCCAGGGAGTTCACTGAGGGCATGTTGGGTGTCGAGGAGTATTTCTTATTGCTGACAGAGAAAATGCACAGACGGCACCTTTTTATGATCATCTCAGCTTCACAAACATCCTGTCATGCACCTAATAGCATTCAGCCAGCACACCATGTGTTTAATCTGTTATTCATCTGCTCGGTTTCCCTCTCCTTCTTCAACCTATGTTATTGTTTCCCTTCATTTGTCTCGTCAGGATCAGACAAGCTAAAGTACAGATCCTTCCAGAAAGAATCCTTCCAGATCCCCTCTCTGCCCTGCAGCTGACTCACCTCTCTAGGCTCCACATGCACCCCTCCTCCAAACCCCCGACTCAGAGCTGCAAACAGGCCCAGCGCTGGTGGAATAAGTACCAGCAGGTGAAGCACACAAACACAGTACATGTGCAGCAATAACATGCAACAACTTTTGCTGTGAAATACTAAAAATCAGGTTATTTGTCCATCATAAGGAAATGAAAGTTTGAGGCGGCTCACATGTCCAGACAGAATAAAGAATACATTCCACCAATAACGATTATTGCTATTATTGATTTTCTCAATTACACGGTTCATTTTTTGGACTATGAAACATCAGAAAATAGTGAAAAATGTGAATCCTCGATACCCAGAGTCCAAGGGGATTTCTTCAGTTTTTGTTAGACCAAACATCAATTTTGTTTTAGCATTTTTGTTTTCTTTTGTTCCGGCACTGCCTCATAGTTTTGACTCGGGCTCTTGTCCCCACAGTTGAAGCAAATCTTAATGTTACAACAAATATTTTAGACAGTAGTGTGTTTCCAAACATGGGAATTACAATATGTGACTTTGTGCACAGTGACGTTGTCGTATATGAGTATGAAGTTTTGGGGTCCACATACTTTTGGCCAGGCTGGTCAGTAATCACAATGTGGGGACTGAAGAACTGGGTACTTCAGTAATCATTGTATGAATATCTAATCAGTTAATGACGCGTCTGTTTTTCATCACAGAGAAAGTTCCAATGTGCCAGTCTGACGCCATGGCCGCCCTGGGTCTACGGACTCTACGACTCTGTGAGTACTGCAGACAGCGTGCACTGCTTGTAGTTTCCTCCGTGCTGTATATGAACATCCCATCAGAATGAATGTAAACCAGTTTTTCTCACCTCACAGGAGTCGCTCATGAACAGAGTGAAGAAACAGCTCCATGAATGGGACGAGAATCTGAAGGATGACTCTCTCCCTAAGAACGCCGTAGGTCAGCCTCTGCTCAGTGTGTTACAGATGGATGGCAGACGCGCACACAGACACGCGCGCACATTCTGTACGTCTCTTTGTTTGTGTCTCTTCCTTTCATCCCTCTCTTTCCCGTCTGTCTGGTTTTCGTCAGACTTCTCCTACAGAGTGGCGGCCTGCCTGCCCATAGACGACGCTCTGCGGCTCCAGCTGCTAAAGATCGGCAGTGCCATCCAGAGACTCCGCTGTGAGCTGGACATCATGGACCGGGTAAGGAAAGGTTTACCACCGGCCCCTCATTCCTGCCCGGCCACCTCAGCCCGTCTCCTCTGTCCCTGCAGCCTTCATCATCATCGCCAGATCTGGTGTTCCTGCCGTTGTTGTTCTGCACAGTCTGTGTCTGTTTTTCCTTCTGATGTTCTGTAGCTGTCAGGGGCCGTATACCTGCAATATTTCAGTCCGAAGTTGAACTTCACAATGTAAACTGTTTAGAACTAATTTTGTGTAAGCAAACCCAGTTTAATTTTATTGCTTGTAACAATGGATTGTAACAGATCTGTAGTATACATACAGTATACATTAGCTGCGTGTCACATTTAACCTAAGAGGCATGTTTGCTGGAATATTTACCAACAAAACAGCTACACAGCAGTAAATGGTTAATAACGGATATTTAGGCTTAATGTTATGAAATGTGGTTCTTCTTGGTGTGCTATGTTGGAATTTACCTTAATGACAATTAACATTTTGGCAGTTATCATTCGCTTTCATTGATCAACTTATTATGCATTTTGTGCCTTAATTAACATTTACATTAGAATGTAATGCCAGCAAAAATGACAGATAATCCTGGGTGAAGAAGGCTCATGTCACTCACCAGACATTAAGCTGATCACACACACACACACACACACACGTGCGTGGTACCCCTGCATCACCAGAAACTGTAAAGCATTCACCGGATGTGTAAAGTGCTTCTTTAATAGTTCTGCTTGTTATCGGTTCTTTCCCTCCTGTCTGATTGAGGATAATAATCCTCCTTAATGTGGTGAGTCTCTCTGGTCACGCGCTGCAGACCTGAACTCACGTCATCCACCTACTTACTCCTGTGGAAGCATAAAGGATCCTAGCATCCTTAATAAGGACACTATGCTTTGAGAACATCTGATATGTATCGGTCCTTTTTAACACTTTATTATCTGTCCTCCTCAGTGCACATCACTGTGCTGTAAGCAGTGCCAGGACACAGAAATCACCACTAAAAATGAGATCTTCAGGTGAGGACATCAGTACTTTTTGTAGCTCGGTTATTACGAACGCTTTCCAGCAAAGTGTTAATCAAAATCTCCAGACATTTGGCATTTGTTTGAGAGAGATAATGAATCACTGTGAATGTTAGATGTGATGTTGCACTTTCTTCACCTGCCTGCCAGGTAACTGGATTAAGGAGCTGAAAATGTCTGAGCAGTAAAAAAAAATAGCTTTTAATGAAGCTTGGACATTTTTTAACACCTAGATGCACAAATTTGTGTCTTTGAAGAGATTTTACCTTGAGACGCACTGATCGATCGGCCACCTGTTGAAACCAGACAGTTGTCAGCTGAGAGTCTCATGATGGTTTTACAAATGAGTCCTTCCCTGCAGCAGTTGGGGTTAATGTAAAAAACAAACAAACATTAAAACAGTCTGATGGTGGTACTCTACCAGGAACAAACCTGCTCCCATTTATATTTTTTAATTTTAATTTTTGTATTTACCTTCATCACAGTAATCACTGTAATTATTAACAGGTCAACGTTGATTTGAGCATCTGTACAGAAGTTGCATAAAGTCTGCGGTTACATCGTGAACATAAGTGGCCCTGCACCGTACCTCCACACTCACTATACAAATGCACACACACACACACACACTGTTATGTAATGTCATTTTATAACTGTCTTTGATGGGTGACACTTAATGTGTTTGTCCAAGAGTCAAACACGGAACCACCAAAGAAACTGTCCAGACCTTCTCTCTACAATGATGAGAAAAGTGCTTCAGCTGGTTTTGTCTGACAACATCCAGAAGATCTAAGAGAATGAATGATTATGTGTTTGATGCTGATTCCCGAAGTTATACATTTCATACATTTTATTACATTTTATAGGAAATTGCTACTTCAGAAACTGACTCAAAATGTGTCTCTTTGTGTGGTTTCATTGTCTGCAAGGAGCTGTGGGGTTAAATATGTATCTTGTAGAACTTAAAGTTGAACACAACATTTACCATCCTCAAGTCTTAGGACCATTCTGATGTTTAGCTTTTTGGCTGAACCGTTAACTGAAGTCCTATTCACTGCTGCCTGTGCTCTCCCTGCAGCTTGTCTCTGTATGGACCCATGGCTGCATACGTCAACCCTCACGGTTACGTCCATGAAACCCTGACTGTCTTCAAAGCCAACAACCTCAACCTGGTCGGCAGGCCATCCACACTGCACAGCTGGTTTCCAGGGTAACTTTGCTATATTTATGTGACAGATTGTATAAAACATCTGGCCCATTGCACTGGGGGTTTTAGTCATACTTCAATACCACAATTGCTCTAACTGTATTGTGACACTGTCCCAGTGCCTTGAATTAGAAACCTCTGGCCTTTCTGTGTGGCATCATAAACAATAGTGTTATTTTGATCAGAGGGGAATCTCTTATTAGTGATCTGAGGTCATTGTATTATACCAGATTTCTGTAGAGAGCTGTGAAATCATGGTGCACTGTGCCTTCAGTGGCTTACTACATCTACAAAATACCATCACAAAGAAAGCATTAACTATTTATAACAAGTGAAATATAAATAATACTTTTGATTAAATTGTTCCATAGACAGTTATACTGTAAATCTGTATACTGTTTTTCATCAGTAGCTAGATTACCTGTGAATGACACATGCAGTTAGTACCAGTATGAGCTGTTTGTAATGGGTTTAATAGCGAATATAAAATAAACTAGAGACCATCCTGTGATGGGATCACTCTTGGAGAAAAACTGCCTCATCATTCCAAACATGTAATGTTTTTATATCTTCAAACATGTCTTCAGGGGATCTTTAATAAAAACGTTGTCCTCTTCCTCTGCCCTCAGGTACGCCTGGACAATTGCTCAGTGCCGGACCTGCGGGTCTCACATGGGTTGGAAGTTCACAGCCACCAAGAAGGACTTGAGTCCACCTCGTTTCTGGGGTCTGACCCGTTCAGCTATGCTCCCCCGTATCCCCCCTGGCAAGGGGGAGGAGGGGAGAGAGGGCTCCCGCCTTTTCTGCCTGTGATGTCGGACCATCAGTTATCGTAAAAAAAAAAAAAAAAATCCTTACAAGCCTGGATCTTCATGCGCTCTCTTGCTGTGTTTACTTTTAGTGATCGACGCATCACACACCGTGCAGCAAATCCATCATATTAGTAGAAAGGTCAGTAGGCCTTAAAATGGCACTCTAAGAGCAAATTAGAACAGGGGGGAGGAAGTGATTGTTCTCAAAGGTCCTTGATATGACGTCTAGGTGCATTGTGAGAAAGAAATAGAGACGAACAGATTGATTCCCTGACATTGTAGCATCCTATCATGCAGCTAGCTGATCTGCACCCCTGTCCAGCTGATTCTTTAGTAGCTGCAGACACACAAACAGTTTTCCTTTGAACTCCTTTCCTCTATATGACGGAGAGTTTGACTGCATGCAGGTGAGATAAAGATCTTGTTGGTCTCCTACTTTAATCTGTCGTTAAACCAACCAGAAAATATAAATTCACTTCCTTTCAGCTGCTGTAGGACTTGAGAGGGAATGAAAGTGCACTTGTACATGTAGATCTGTCTCTAGAGGGAATATTTTGAATCTTGGAATTAAATTTGATGTATTTTTGTACGCTAGAAGATTGGAAAGTAATTTACCTACTCATCCATCTGTGCTTTCTATTATCACACCAGTTTTTTAAACAATAAACAAAAAACTGAGGTGACGATAACGACAATGTGTAATATACTTGATATAATCGCTGTCTGGTTTGTATTCAACCAAGGCTCATTGTCCTGTCAGATCATGTGCTTCATGAAACAACAAAGAGAACATTAGAGATGTCTTCTTGGCGCCTGATGGAGGGCTGTTTTTTTTTTTAAATGTTAAAGCTTAATAACACAGAGAGCGAGAAGAGCATTTACCCGTCTTCATTTGGTCAGTTCATGTTGTGTGGCATGTTAAAATGCTGTGCCTACGCCCCAGCTCAGTGTCTTTTGATAGGTTTGATGAATCCGTGAGCCACAGGTGTAAATGACAGATTGTAAATGATGAAGAGATTTAATTAAAAAAAATTGTTGGGTATTTTTTGTTTTTAGGGTCTCAGTTTTTTAGGACTTGTTGCAAGGTGCTGTCTCATGTTTGTATAAATGTTGCTGTAAATATGAGGCAGATAAAGCGTTTGTTGTGTAACATAACTGGTGTTCTAGTGTTTATAGAATCTGGCTCTCATTTCACGTGTCTCTTCATGTCACAGAGAATTGTTATAATCTTTTCATCAGTAAGCTACATCATTGATCGCAATAAGAAATCATCTAGAATGTGAAGATGTTGGTTTGTCTAATTTAATGTTTTTGGATATTTTCATAAAGGAATACATCCAGTCTTGACGGATATGAGAGTGCTATTGTCACACAATTCTTGGCATTAAAGCAAATTAGTGTAATGTCTGAAAATGTCAAAACTACTTTTAAAAGAGAGATCGCTTTCAATTTTAAAATGACATGTTTTTCTTGCAGCCAAAGCACGATGTCGTGTGGAGGTTCGGGTCTGAGTCGACTTGTTTTCAATGAATCTTTCCTTAAGAGTACTCCATGTTTTAACATTGCCCCCCCAATAACACTGTCAGACTAAAGGACAGTTGCATTATTTTATAGAAATCAAAGCAGCAGAAGAATCCTTTTTTTTTATTATTCCACGCGTTCATCAATGTTAATACTTGCCATCGGCATTACCCACAATGCATCTCAACCACTGGCAATTTGGTTAGAGATTCTGATGTGTTATGCCAGTGGTAGTAATAGTTGTATTTTTTTTAAGTTACATTCACATTTGAAATGTTATTTATAGTTATATTTTGGACTCTTCAAAAGATTAATATATCATTTTTTTTCATAAATGTTTTCATACTGCATGTACAATCTAAAATCCTGTGTTAAGCTTCCAATATTCTCTGTCATATCGCTGATTCGGTGTTCACCAAGCTGTCAGGCTTTCATGCACCCCCAACAATAAAATAGATGCTTCACAGAAGAAATCATTGGCCTGCTTCCAAAGATGGCTTTTGCCTGTTCTTTCTTGACATTCAGTGTACCGCAGAGTACAAGAAAGCATGCAGTAATCCTGTGGCAGTTTGCTGATGTACATGTTTCAGCAGGAATCTCAAGGCAGGGCGTGCATCAAGAGGCATCAATGTGACCGTTTACACAACACGTGTGTGTGTCTGTGTAAAAACTTCACATCTACAGGCAAATGTACATGCCTCCACTTTATGTGTCTTCTGTGAATATAATGAGTTAGCAGTGAATTAATCTTTTGTGCAGATACACGTGGTTAGAGGATTATTTGTATTCTAGTGCAGTGAAAGCCTAATGAGTCATGTGGACCATGTGAGGGTCCCACAGAGGAACATTATAGTAATAAAGTGGACAAGGTTTGGGACATGCAACTTGTGAATTCTCATTATTTGATATTGAAAATACTGGTTTGTGGTTTGAGCAGTTGTGTCTCTCTGCTTCTCTCTAGTAAAGTTTCTTGCTTTATGCCTATTTGCTGATGCTTAACCATACTCATGAAAGCTTTGTTTAGTCAAGTATTTTGAGCCTTCAATTGTTTTTTTAAACTCATGTTTAGTGTAAAAATGAAATCCATCATAATTTCCCAGAACCCAGGGTGAAGTCTTCAAATTGCAAATTTTCTTTAATCTGTTGACCATAAAAATCACAGAAAAGCAGCAAATATTCACACGCTAACAGCTGGAACCAGTGGATGTTTGGGATTTTTGCTTCATAAATCAAAATGATAAATTATTATAAATATTTGAATTAATGTTCATATGCTTAAATATGTATTGGGTATTTAAACCTGGAAACAACATGAGCACAAATACAATACCTCTCCATCTTATGATGCAATAATAAGAAAAGTAAGTGTTCATTCTTTACTTCCTTACAATTCTCAAGTGGAACATTAAGATGCTGGACATCCTGATTCTTTACCGGTTTACCAGTCTTTATCTCTCGAGGGCTAAAAGCGACCGAGGGCTCTGTCTTTGCCTGTGGAGAGAGAAAACCAAAACGATTCCTCACCAGCAGGAAGGTACACAAACTGATGGTCACAATAAATCCTCAACGACATCAGCACAACATGTTACAGTATGCTGCTCATTATTTGGGCATGTTGCAACGTTCTTTTAGGAAACTAATCCTAAGTGGCACCCGTAACACATAATAAGAATGACAAAATAAATTAAATCAAACCCGATAAGATTACACAACTGATGGATTCAATATAGAGTCAAAGCTGAAGGTCAAAGTACAGAATCATCTGTTGTGGCTGCCACAGTGACACTGATAGAAACCATTAAACAGGTTATTGTTGGCTTCCACCTTTGCCCACATTCCCAATATCACACAGGCAACAGCCACTAATGACCTGCTGTCAGCCTGGTGCAATGATAGAGCATTTGTCTCCTAATTGTCCAAAATAATTGCTGACACATACCCATGCTTTGTCACACCCCTCAACATCTGATACCGACACACAAAGTACCCTTCGGTGTTTGTATGACACCCCCCGGGCGTTCAAATCACGCCAATGTAAACCCATAAACCCATGTGAACAATGAATAAAGACGAAAATATATTCATATACTGAGAAAACTATAGGGTCAAACAAACACAGCACTATCAACCAGGAGACTGAAGTTTGAAACTGCTGTTCAAGTCCTGAAGTGATGAGTTATTTTGAAGTTAGATGTTTTCTGTACTTGTATGCTTACGTTTTATTTAGTTTACGTGCTTATTTCTAGACTAAGTAGGTTTTTTTTGGTTGCCTAAACATAAGCAAGTTTTTGTTTGCATTAACAACGTGAACGTGGCTTTGTAGTTTACCTGGGTGTGGTTGAAATTATATGGGCCTCATTCCCTGCATGTGTGACATTTTTGAGTGTCAGCCTTGTGGTATGCTGCTGCTTCAATAAAAAAACAGATCATACATAAACCATTGCAACACATTCTCACACCAATGCGTCAAATAACACAGCTTGGTCAGAGGCATTTTGCTTCAACAGCAGATGCTCTGCATCGCGTCTTTTCGAAAATAAACTTCCGTCTTCACAGGATGTTGGGTTTAGGCACCAAAACCACTTAGTTATGTTTGATAAAACCGTGGTTGACGTGAACTTGAGCGTATGTGATCACAGCGTCATTAGACTAAAACATGTTTCACATTAGTTGCTAGTCACTTGAGTAGTTGCGACTCTGTTCGTACACAAGTAAAAATACAAAGCAGCTGAGAGAACATAACTTTATTCCACTCTTAGTTGGATGTAGCAAATATACAACATATTCACACTCAGTGTGGGATTTTAAAACAGTTATTCACCACAGACAACATTTATAGAAGTGACAAATATATTTCACAGTCTTTAAATATAGAAACATTACAACAGCTTTTTGGGGCATTAAAAATGCATTTGATTGAAACAAAGTGTTTGTATTTCTTCTTCATGAAAACACAGTTGTCCTTGCTTTCACTCTTAGCTTTCTCTTTGGGGAAAATAAAGCTATAGATACAATATATTTGATCCCTTAAGATCTCTGAGCTCAACTCAAAGGACTTATAATTTGACATGATGGCTGGCATCTTGTTCAAAAAAACTTTTTTGTGTTCCTCTTTACCTCAACATTATCTGCAATCCAATCATTGAATCTTTCCGAAAGGCAAAATGTTCCTGAAGTCTAAATCCATGAGTCCATACTGATTTTCCCAATAGGGCACTGGTCCAACAGTCCAACACCTTTTGTCATCCTTCAACATCCAACATCTGGAGCGTAGTTCTCACTCATGGCCACCCATTGAAGGTTTGCTTTTGGTGAATACTTCCATGACGCCTATACCATATTTTTTTTCCATATGTCAGAGATTCTGACAGGTACAGTATTTATTATCTCCGTGTCTCCTGTTCAGAAGAAACACTCGATCAAACGCAGAGAGCTCTCGGAATCAGCCCTGCGAGGCGCATCGACAGGATTTTCCCGTTTCCAGATGGAAACTCGTTGCTCTCATTTGGACTCGGACAGATTTTTGAAGCTCATGTACAACGTGCTGACCAGCGTCGCCTCTACACGGATTGAGTCCTTACCGTTGGGGTGCCGGTGACACAGAAGTGTCACCAGCCTCTGAGGAAATTGACCACTGAACAGAAGGTAAATGCAAGGATTCGCGCAGCTGTTCAGACTGGCCAGCAACATCAGGATGGTGAAAGTCGCATCTGGAATATAAAAGCGTAATGTGTTTGCAAGTGTCCTTTTTCATTTCTGAATATCTTATCGTTTTGTTTTGTTTTTGCGTAAATGCGCACTTTTATTATGTTTAATGTAAACTAATTGTATCACGTTTAAGAAAAGTAAAATAAGATCTAGTAGAGTAAAATAATAATATAACCACATCAAACTGGGCACCAGCCAGAAATACTTAATGACTTACTTTCTTTCGGCGCATTTGTGTCCCAGGCGGACCAGAGCTGGACCGTGAAGAAGGGAGTCCAGCAGACAATATAAGCCAGCACGATAACCACCGTCATCTTCAGCGTCTTCACCCTGGCCTTGGACATACCGGCCACACCGCTGGTTCTGGACGGCAGAGGGAGACCCACTTTGCCCTGCTGTTGAGTCTTTTGATAGAGGTTGATCTGGATGGCTCGGCAGATGCGCACTTGACAAAAAACAACTGTAATAACAGGTAAAATAAAAATGACCAGAGTGGTCCAGGTTATGTAAGTCTGTAGCCCCCACGGATGGATAAATGTGGCCCAGCAGTCAAACACACCACGTGCAACCTCGACCCGAGAGAAAATAAAAACCTGTGGCAAGCTGCCCAGCAGAGAAACCCCCCACGCCATGCACACAGGTATGTTAAGCCTCGTGCTTGCCCGCTGGAACTTCACCATCGGGTTGCAGACAGCTTGGTATCTGTCAACTGTCATCACCACGATCATGTAAGTGGATGAAAACATGCCGAGAACTTGCAGGTACTTCACCAGGCGGCACACCAGGTCTGGTCCGACGAATCTGTCTGTGATGTCCCACATGAGCTGCGGGCACACCTGGAAGAAAGCGACCACCAGATCCGCCAGGCACAGGTGGAAGACGAAGACGCGCATCCTGGACATCTGTTTGCGCTTTCTCCAGAGGACGAGCAGCAGGGAGACGTTGAGGATGGCGGCGCTGATGAAGATGACACTGAGGAGCGCGATCTCCAGCTTGGCCAAACTCTCATCTCTCGCCACGTCCTCCGCAAAGTCACTGCCATTCAGAGGACACATTGTGTTTGTGTCGTGAAAGAGTTCAGACTTGCCAACTGGCAGAGAAACAGGCTGGTGGGGGGAAATAACAGACAGTGTTGAAATGAAAAACATTTACTGGTAACCTAATCTGTCACGTAATAACAGTGTATTTTAACACTTTTTATTCTGAAGAAATTGTTTTGTTTGTTAGAAAACACCTATTCAATTAAAAAAGTAACCATTTGTCATTTAGCAAGTATTTCTACCTACCTTATGTTATTCAAATAGGTGGTTTGATACTGCAGTGATCAGGTTGCAATCTCGAAGGAGAAGGGTGGTCGTGTACAGCTGCCTTTTCGTTTTGTGAGGATGAAACTGGGTGGAGCTATGACTCCTTCAGTACTGTGATATAGGCAAATAAGTACAATTGCTCTTATGCCTACATGTGCAAGTTGCAGGTGAAATGATTATAAGCTCCAGCAAAGCTAATATAAATACTTTGAGATGATTGTGTATCAGCAGCTAAAGTCAAATTCAGCAATACATTTACCCTTAATTTTAGCCAAGGTTGCTATACTATGACTATATTACAAATATTTTTTTAATTCATTAAAGATTAACAGTGATAAAAAAAGTACAGACATAATGAGAAAAAAAATAAGAAAAATTCAAGTATTCATTATGCAAAATAACCTCAGTCAGAGTTTATTATTACACATTTTATAAGCCTATTGGAATATTATTAGTTATGCATACACATGTAAGCAGCATTCAATGCTGTAGCTGATAGAGGGAGATTATTTTGACTGTTTATATAGGCCCCTGTTGTACTGAATAATCTCAACATTTATCAAATTTTAAGTAAGGCATATTTTGTATGACCATCGTTTGCAAAGTAGTAAATTAGGTAAAAGTACACTATAAGCCTCTGAAATAAGGCCTGCTGGAGTAAAAGTACAAAGTAGCAGAAATAGAAATTGTCAAATAAAGTACAACTAACGTTACCTTAGAATTGTACAGTCGGCTACTTGAGTAAATGTACCTATAAATGAATGTGAGTGAGGCAGTGATACTGAATTCTTACTGCATCTGTATTTGAAATGAGACCAAAAGCAATCAACTTTAAGGAGTGTGGTAGTTTAACACTATTTTATGTTGTATTTACTTTAAGATTGCAGTTACTTTTCTTGCTTCTCTCTGTAAAACAGTACAGCTCATGAAACACATCCTCTGTGAGACCGAGACGTCATCATACCTCTCGACCAATCACAGCACAGAATAGTTTGACGTCCCAGGACTTTCAACAGGAAGTGTGAATGTAAACAAAGTAACGAGCTGCTAGTTGAGATTGAGAAGAAGTGAGAGTGGACGGTTCTCCCGCTCGTAGTGTAACTGGAATAGTTGCTCGTAATCCTTGTTTGTAAACAACGTGATGTAATTAGACGGACTGAGTCATTTATCTTTGATTCTACGATCTCCATGTCGACAACACGCAACATACATGGCTAGCACTGCTAGCTAGCGTTAGCTAATATCCCTGCGCTAATGATAACGTGTTATTAAGACACCAGCACCAATGCCTCAAGAGGAAGAGCAGTCTCTTCCGCTGGTCCGCTCCCTGAACAGTCTCATAGCCATCAGTGCTGTGTTTCGTAACCTGAGTCCTCGTGTCGTGCGACCACTATGGATCGATTACCGCGGGGAACCTCGAGCATACGTTGATTTACAGCCAGGGACGGGACGTGAAATGGCCACCTTCATTGGTAAGGCAGCTTCCACTACAAGACAACGTTACTTATGCATTGGGTGGTGCTTCTTGTCTCAGATGTGAGCTACGTGTCCAGTGGTGGGAGAAGTACTCAGATGTACTTAAAAACAAAAGTGTTAGCATCGTAATATAAAGTACCAAAAGTAAAAGTTGTCATTATGCAGAATGCCCCCTTTTCAGAATCATGCATAATGATTGTTAATGTTGTATTTTGTATTATTAATCAGAAAAGTAACTAAAGTTAGTAACTAAAGTTGTCAAATATATGTGGATAAAGAGTACAATGTTTCCCTCAGAACTGTAGTGAAGTAGATGAATGAAGGAAATGGAAATACTCAAAGAATGTACAAGTATCTCGAAATAGTACTTTGTACAGTGCTTGAATATGCTCGCCACTGTTTCATACAGTGAGAAGTCATCCAGGGGCAGCATGCTGATGACATTTACAAAAAACGCTATCATGTTATTTCTGTAATATTTTACAGTACATGAAAAAGTCTCTCACTCGTTGCAACTCATGCTTTCATCCCAAGAAGCTGTAACAGCTGGTAATTATACTAAACATGGGGACATTTTCTTGTTCTGACACAGCTGTAATGCGATGGTACAGTATCACTTGTGGGCAGTGTAACACACACTCATTTTAAAAGATGTTTTATGGATTATTTTCCCAGGTCACCCGTGGATGTTCAGAGATGCAGATTCTGATGAGCCACTGAGGGTGAACGGCAAAGAACTGTTTCTTCCTAAACCAGCAGAGGGTAGAAACGCGGATATCACTTTACCAGGTAAGATTAGCCGCTTTACTTAAAACTTGAGGCATTATCATCTCGTGTAATTCATTACTACTCACAGACATACAACCAACGGTACATTCATGGCCATTGAAGAAACAGTGTCATCCCTGCCACCAGGGGTTTGTTTCTTTGGATTTAACCCAATGAACAAACTATCTTAGCACACGGACTGTACAGCCCCCTGTTAGTGGCACAAACAGGGGGCTGTACGGTCCGTTTATGGCTAAACGCAAGCTATAGACCGACACCACACGTGAAATTTAGGCTGAGATAGCAGTGTTGCTTTGACAGAGTTTCAGCATGTTGGTTGAATTTTTGCGTTTCCTGCCCTGCTGTTAGTTAGTATAATTGGCTTTTATAACTGAGGACTGTAAATTTAGATTGTATGGACCCAGTAGTAGAGGTGAAACGCTGCCCCCTATTCCTTTGGATCATGTGGCCAGATCTTACACATTGCACTTTGTCCTTAATTTTTATTTTTTTTTTCAGAATGATTGTAAATGCAGCTGTAAAACTATATTCTATATTTACACCAGTATCAATTTGGTAGTTGTTGCAATTTGAAGGCAAGATTGTCCCTGCCTAACAAGTTCTCAACATTTGTCAAACACTTGTGTGTTCGGTTTACACAGTTTACAGCCTCAAGGATCGTGCTCTGCAGGTCATTCGGCGTCTGGTGCGAGCAGAAGACTACAGGAGGTTGGAAATAGCTCGATGTCTCCACGAGGAGCTGGAAGATCAGCCCAGTGTATTGAAAGATCTCCATCGCATGAACCAGCGAGTAGAGCAGCATCTACTGGAGAGGATCCAATGCCAGGAGGAATGAGGCATGAAACTGGATGCATAACGATCACGTATGGACAACATTATATTCCACACTTCCCCTGAGGTCATACATATGCTGCAAATGATGATCTGCTGCTTGTTATATTCACACATCGGCTTTGGCAAATGCCTTCCTCTGCAGAAAAAAGCTCTACCCGAAGATTTACCTTTTAGGAAGAGGAGATTGTATATAATGTGATTGCAGCATATTCAATTAAATGGTATTGTTTGTACTCTAAAATGGTATTCAAGCATTTCCATGTTTTTTCCTAAAAGGCCACCAGAGACATGGGGACATTTCAGCCATTGATGCCAATCTGATTACCTTATTCTCTTTTTTGTTTTGTCATATAAAGCGAGGTTCTGTCATACTCTCCTCAAAATAATCCCATTTGATCATACACACAAGACAGAGCTTTTTTTGTTTTTGTCATGCATACAGTGTTTTAATTGCTCTTTTGTCATAATTATATCTTTAGAAAGGACAGTTGGATAGAAATGTCATATAGATATGTGTTGTTAATATTCTTATTGAGAATGCCTGAGATAAGGGGATCTAAACTTATCCAGTTTACTGCACATCTCCCCTGAAGAACATCTTACTTTGTTATCTCAGCTGTTAAACTCAGAGGTTAAACTAAGACTGAGCTGTTCAGCCGTCATCAGAAAGCTTTGGCCTGTTCTGGTAAATGTGGACTTTTTGTCAGAATATACCTGCCACCATAAATGGGCAGAGTCTCTCCTAAAATGTTGTCTTGCAGCGGAAAAACAAAATATTTTGTCTTTACAATTTTCAGACTTGGCTGTGAAACGGTGTGAGTGAGGATTTATTCTTTTGTTTTTGTCTACTTTGTAATTCTTTGCTTATTTTGTTCCTCTGTCACCATGTTTTAAAGACATACATTGCTACTGTATCTCAAAGACCTTCATCGTTTATTTGTGTAATAAATAAAAGATATATTTCTTACTGGTTGAAAGCTGTGAAGACTTGATATTTCAGTTATTTACTAAGTCTCTTATTGATAATGAACTATTACATTTTGAACACAATGTCATAAAACAACAATCATCAAATTGAGACTTAATTTCTCAGCATTCAGAGGGAGTTTTGGGTCGATGTGATGGTGGAGAAGTACAATATTACGGTTTGATTTGTAATATATCAAATTTGGTGTAAGCTGAATAACTGCACACTCAAACACAAGGATGTTATTTCCAAGTCACATGTCAAAAGCAGGGGTACTGTTACCAAACGTGTTGCTAAGCGACAAAATAACACCGCTTCTCTGGTTGTGTGAGTCGAGGTGAGCCGGCGGCAGAAATAACAGGAACATGCAGGCAACATTCAAGTCGTTTTAGGGGAGAGAAGTAAGTATTTGTCCTCACACACACGCGCGTTTTGTTTTGCAGCCGTGTTGTGCATGACGTCATTTGCTTGGACAGAAGGAATAGACGATAACTAACATTCATTATCCTACGATTATTATCATCAGCATGACATTTTGGCCAAGGAGTCACCCAGTCGTGTTTCCACATATCCAGACAGACCACTGGAGCAAAATGAAAACAATGGTAAGAACAATTGAAACAAGCCCTTCTATGAACGGAATGATATAAAGTCCAATGACACTAATGATTAATAACAAATGCATACTTTGTATTCTTGTGATACTATGAACTGTTGTTCCCACCTATAGGTTCCAGTTTATCTTGCATCCGTTCCAGTTGCCTTGTTGAAGAGCAGAGGTTTGTGAAAATGATCATATTTAACAGATAATATCAAATTGGGAGGTGACCATGAGAGCACTTTGTACAGTACAGAGAGTTCTGTTCATGGGAAAATGTGTCTCTAATTTGGCTTTCTTACTATGTTTGAATCACAAGAAGGTGATCTCCACCGTACCCCCAACAGCAGCCTGTTCCCTCCGCTGCCACTGGATGAAACTGCAGTTAAAGATCCTAGCTCCTCCATGGTGCAAGCATACAGTCGGTCCCACATTGAACAGAAGTTATTTAAATATCTTTCTATTTTTTATTACTTACTTTGTTGCTGATTCACTATTATGTTTGTTTTCTTTAGGTGTGCATCAAAACACACCAAAAAACTCGCCTCAAAACATGGCCCAGTTCAGGAATGAGTTTAACGACCGTGCCAGGGGGGCTTCCGCTACTGGTTGATTGAAAAGAAGGGCTCAGCATGTAAGCAATGATCCAAATATCACCTTTACAAGAAGTGGCATGACATTCAATGCCCATATCTTCAATATTTTTCATTTCTGATCCTGCTGTTCAGACTTTCCACTGTGTGCTCAACCTTTCAAAGTCGACAAAGTAGCTTAAGTCCCCCGCTGCTCACTGACTGACATTGGTGCATGGTTGTGAGCAGCAGGTCAGACCATCTTATTCTTTTCCTCAAGACCTCCTAGTCTGCTCACATTTGATTTTTTTGTTGGTATATCATACAGTAAACAGAAATCCGAATTTTCTGTATTTAATAAAAGGAATGTAAATACTTCTAAATGTCACAAGCAACATTTTTAAGAGAAATAACTGTCTTTTAGAATAACTACTGTTCACATTATGATTGTTTTACACAGCTCAGAGGACTGATGCATCTTTATTTCTTTCTTATAGGTAAAGGAAACAGCTTTGGGGCCTACAAGACCTCTCTGGGATTACCAAAAGTCTAACACTGTCTAAGATTTTTGTAACCATCTGTCATTAAATCACTTCAAAGTAAAAAAACACGTCTATCAAAGTCTTTATTCTCTTTTTTCATAATCGGGATTGCCTTTAATATTGTATAGAGTAGGCTATACTGTACATCCCACATTTTATCTTATTCAGTATTTAAAACCTTGTTTTCCCTGTAGAGTTTAAAGGTATACAAGGCACTTGGAAACAGCATAATGTGTGCTGTATAAATACAATTTGTCTCGCGTTGTGTCCTGAGCACCCAACCGCCAAATCACATGTTTTCGCGGTTATTGTCGCCCATCAGTCAAATCTCGTTGGTAGACTTGATCTCGCGGGAAGTAGAGTAATCCGCTGGTCGCTCGTGGCATTTGAACCCAACGGTCCAAAACAAAACTTTGCTATTTTATATGCTATTTAAACTTTTTTATTGAATCCAAAGAAACGTTGTCATATTTCTTTTTGTTCAGAAACGTTGTACGCATTAAACTGTGAGAGCTACCGAGTGAAGAATGGCGGACTGAACCAAAGGAGAGAGTGACGCATTATTTTTCTGACTTTCCATTCCTGCTGTAAGGTTCCTGAGAAGGTAACGTTAAGTTAACAACTCCTCAACATTATTACCTCGTTGAATACATATAAATAGACATGTGATAAAGAAGTGGAAAGTAATAACAAAACTGGCTTTTAAGCGTCTTTTTGGAGCCAGAACATTCTGTGTCGCAGTTTGAATCAACACCTGAAAATCGTTCATGTTAGCTAACAACTAACAGCTAATTGGCTAAAGCGAGGGCGCTAGGTTAACTGATAGTCTCATTTATTACCAACATCTCAGCAATGACTGCAGTTTTAGGCATTTCTTTCTATCATGGTCGAGTCGGACAGCTGCACAAAATCCCCAAAACCCGATTGTAAGTTGTCGGGAGAAAAACCTGAACCCTTAGAATGAATTAGGTTTGAATGACAAGCTAACTAGGTGTAGTTAATGTTAGCTACAAAACATGGTGGCCATAATGTGCGGGAAATTATTGTTTAAATGCCAGTAATTTCACAATTAACAATTGAAAACTGGTTGATAATAGAGATATTGCTAATAATGTACGGTGTATAAAAATAATGGTTTGAACTCAAACAAAGACCACCCCTATCAACATCGTAAAAAACTAATACACCTTTATGACTTTTATAAAACTGGTTACAAAATGCTTTGATATAACTTAGGACATAAGAGACAGTAATAAAAGGATACAGGAGGTTTAAATTATCAGTCATTTAAAAGCCAGTTTAAAAAGGTATGTTTTTAGCTAAAGAAAATACCGAAGTCTAGAATTGTGAAATAACTTTTCACACAACTTGCTGTATTAGTGTATTATCTGTACTGCTTATTTGTAATGCTTTCTTTGTTTTGACCTGCCAAGGGATGACAGATGCAAATTGACTTTAAGCAGTAATCTGGTAAAGTGCATCAAATGGTGCCATTTATGTTTTAAACGGTACATTGTCCCTTTAAGATAATATTAATAAAATAATATTACAGTTTTTAACTTGAGTATTTTAACAGTGATGCTCATGTTTGCTTGCATTATGTACTAAATGGTCATACAGATCTGTTCTTTCCTTTTCTAACTGGATTAGAAGTCTCTGACATGGATCGCAGGAAAAAGAAGTTGACGTTTAAGTGGCTACGAACTGCAATCACCTCGCCCACAAACCTTCAGGAGCGAGATGCTGACTCAGACACACCCTCTTGTTGGAATAAGTCGCCGACTGAAGATTCAAATACGTTGCCCCTCGGTGACTCTCCGGGACCCGATGGCCTTGGAGCACTGAGTCTGGACACTCCCAAGAGGAAAGCAGGAGTGCTCGGTGAAAGTGCGCCGTCTTTAGGCAAAGTTAAGCTGAGGAAGCTTTCCAGGGAAAATTATGAACATTTCATAACTTCAGAGGTAAATCTTTACTATAAATCTTGCTCTGCCCATCTTTTTAATTGTATCTAAAGTGTTTTATCAGAGCTAGAGTCTCAAATGTTCTATTTCTTGCATTATGTTCAGTTCTTGTAAAGAAATTACTGATTTATTTGTACATTTGCACCATAACTCTTAGGAGAAACCTATGGACGACCCATCCAGGCAGCTGGAATGCACAGAGAGACGGGAAGTATCCTCACCTCCACCTCACTCTTTCATCATGAAAAAGAAAGCAAGGACACCCGAGGAGGGATCGAAGGCGATCTACAGGAAGGCAGTGGTCGCAGCCATTGGCAGCACTACTAGTACCCCCAGGACTTTTCCATTTGTGTCTTCACCGGTGAACGCTGAAGCACCCAGTGCAGCAACTCTTGACAGAGCATACAGGGATAGTAGGTGTTCCTCGACTGAGAACAGATCCGAGCACAGCGACGCTGTCCAGGAAGAACAGTGGTCCCCTCTTCAGGTGTTGGAGGACATTGATGATGGCTCAGAGCTGAAAACAGGAAGGGTAAGTTAACTGACACCTAGAAATCTATCTTTTGTTGTAGTTTTATTTGCTTGTATATCATTTTAAATGTTTTAGTTGTATGCAATCTGTTGTTTAATACATTTTTTGTTCATTTAGTGAATCTTTTCTTTTTCTTTGTTTATCAAAAGCAACCATTACATTTGTACAATTTACATCCTTAAAATATATTGACCACAAATGAATCATCAAGCCACTGATGATTAAAAACTAAAAGTGTCAATTTCTTCCCCTATTTGTTTACGTTTTTCAGAGTGTTGTGCTAAAAGGAGAGGATTCACCCGAGAGGTTTGTAAAAACAACCTCTCAAGACCAATCCTTTGCTACAGAATATGAACCAGAAGCCACTTGCTGTGGCTCGTACCTTCCGGCCCTGGATTATACGCCCGATTCTTCGTCCTGTTTCACCATTCACCAGAAAGGCCCTTTTGACAGCCAACAATGGAGAAATCCTTCACTGTATACCGAGGAAGCTACAACTTCCTCTTTCACCTTTTCATCCCCCAATGAAACCACTGGGGTCGTCCAGGCAGCTGCAGTGGACGAGGATACACCGTTCTCACTGTCACAGAGGACCGTTTATGTCTCCTTAAAGCAGCCCCACCCAACAAACACGGCCCCTTCACATGCACCCAGAGTACACACTGACAATTTCTGCTCCTCCAGAACTATAGCCTACAGGGACCCCTTTGCGCTGCCAATACACTCAACTAGAGTATCAAACCCTCACTCTAAGTCAACAACCACACGCAGGCAATCGGATGTTGGTTCTGCCATGTGTCACACCCCCACCTCCTTTACTCAAGGTGGCACTGCTAAAAGAAGATTATCACTCGGGGCAGAACCTATGCGGACCACTTACCCGGACAGTCGGGGTGGATTCATAGACACGCACTGCCACATTGACATGCTATATGGAAAGCTTCGCTTCAGCGGGACATTCGACAGCTTTCGCGATCACTACAGAAGCAGCTTTCCTCCAGAGTTCAGAGGCTGTATTGCCAATTTCTGCAACCCGGGGGTGATGGTGAGGGAGGCCCTGTGGGAGGGTTTGCTGACAGAAGACATGGTGTGGGGGGCTTTTGGGTGCCACCCCCACTTTGCCACAGACTATTCCAGTGTCCAGGAACGAGACATACTGATGGCCATGCGGCATCCCAAAGCTGTGGCGTTTGGTGAGATTGGCCTGGACTACTCCCACAAAAACTCCACTCACGGCTCCAAGCAGAAAGAGGTACGGTCACGGTTGAATACAACTTTGTAATCCAGTATCTAACTGTTTATCTTGAACTAAAAGGACCGTCATCATTTGGGAAGAAATATTTTGTGTGGACTGCAATGATTTTATTGTAAAATAATGAGTGGCATGGTCCGTGTTTTTTTTTTTTTTTTTTTTTTTTCTTGTTCTCTGTGAAGGTGTTTGAGCATCAGCTGCGTCTCGCTGTGGGCATGCAGAAGCCTCTGGTTATCCACTGTAGGGACGCCGATGATGACCTGCTGAAAATCATGAAGAAGTGTGTCCCCAGGGACTACAAAATTCACAGGTGTGTTGGGAGGAACATCATCTGTCTAATTATTCCCATTTTTAATCAAATTGTTAGAGATATTAGTCTTAAGACTAATATCTCTAACAATCCTTAAGATAATCACTAAATCTAACCCCACTTTTGGTTGTATTTAGGTTGGCTTTTTTAAGCAATAGCCATGTGATGTATATTATTAAGCAAAACAATCACAGGAACACAATGTATTTGTCACTTTATTTTTGCCAGCAGATTTGTTTATTTTTGCTGAATCAACTCAGACTGTAATATTGAGGAATACAACTTTAAGGACCCTCAAAGAGTAAACAGTTCTGCATTTAATCTGTGAATTTTCTCACCTATGTGTTTCCAGGCACTGTTTCACAAACAGTTATCCCGTTATCGAGCCCTTCTTGACAGAGTTCCCGAACCTGTACGTGGGCTTCACAGCCCTGATCACTTACTTCAAGGCCACCGAGGCCCGAGACGCCGTCCGCCAGATCCCTCTGAACCGCATCGTGCTGGAGACAGATGCACCGTACTTCCTGCCAAGACAGGTACATTTAAATTGAGGCTTAGGGAAACCAAAACACGGCTCTATCGTCATTAATGAATGCCAGGCTTATTTTCCAGCTCTTACTATTTTTAATAACTGCAAATTATTGCATTAAATGTGTATTATAATTACAGCTGAATTACTTTGTGCCAAGTTTAGCTCAAAGTGAATTATTCTCTCCGATTTGAAGACATGTGTTGATTATGTTTTGTATCGATGCATGATGTATGCATCAAATGTATTGTTCAATCAAGAATTGAGATTGTGATGAATGTTCAACAAACAGTCATTATACATAAAATACAAACACAAGCACTCCTGTTTCCAAGGGAAGTGACCCTCAAAGGAATAAATACTCATTCTTGGATAAGTCTGTACAATGTACTTTATAATCATAATAACCTCGGACTGCATACTCTAGTTCGTTGCAATATTGATCCAAAGATAAATCATGTAAAAAAAAAAACTAAAAAAAAAACATGGAAATAAGAGAAATAAATATATATATTTCAATTTATTCGTCAAAGCTTTTGGATGAACCCCTTTTGTGTCGGGCTCCAGATGTCGCCACCAAACGGTCAGCATTGTGCTGTCGAGAGCTCTGGTACAACTGAACAAACAGGAGTACGTTTTGACAACATACATGTGATAAGTGTGTCTCTCTTAACAGGTGAGGAAAGATGTCTGCCGGTTCTCACACCCTGGAATGGCAATCTACACGCTGCAGGAGCTGAGCCTGCTGAAGGGAGAGGACATGGCCACGGTCCTGTCCACCATCAGAGACAACACCACTCAGCTCTACGGCGTGTGATCTTCAGAATCACTCGGAAAGAGAAGACCGACGAAAAGTTTTATTTGCCTTTTTGTTCTAAAGTTATCAATCCTCGATGTCGAGAGCAATTTTATTTTAAATAACAGGTTGATTGTTCATATTAGTTTGGATGTTTGCTTGTCCAGCTGCGTAGTTCGGTTTGGTACAGTGGACACATTAAAACCTTTAATCTTGCTTTTATAATATTCTACATGTATGGTATGAAAAATGGAATGAGAGTATCGTCTGTCAGTCATCAACACAAAAACATGTGGTGTTTGCTGTGAGCAAAGCTGGTTCTCTATTGAAGAAAGGAAGTGGCTGCGAGGATGGTCCGTTACCTTGTTTTCACACCGCCATGTTTGTCACACACATTTGGCTTGAGTGCTTTTTATTTTTAGAAAGATTAGCCCAGCCTACCTGTGATGATCTTTGGTGGTTGGAGTGCCGACCGAGGACGAGATCAATGATGGATGAATAAATGTATCTCCTGTTTATCACGTTTAAAAAGAGGGAAGTGTTGAGATACAGACATGACCCCCTTTTGCCAGGTTCTCAATGAAAGCTGTTTCCAAGAGGTTTTGGGCCTCTTCAGAAAATGTTCATGGTTGTGTGTTTCTGTTTATTAAAAGCTACAAGGTGGAACACAGGACGGACATGAGCATCACAGGAGTTTGTTTGCTTTGGTTAAAAATTAGACAGAGAGACAAAAGATGAGTTGATCCTTTATTTCTGCAGGCACATGTGGGTCTCTGAATATGTATAAGAATAGTAGATATTGGGTTTTTATTGCTGAATAACATCAAATCAATACACAGGATGTGAGTGGCTCATTTGCGGACAGTTTTTAAAATGATGTGTTAAAATTATAGACATTTATTTCACTTCAATTTTGCACATTCGAGAGTGGAAAATCAATATTAAACTTAGTTTTCTCACACGGCAAAGTAATGTCAAACATTTATATGATCATTCGTTAGTTTGAGAAAATAACTCAAGTTCCACATATAACTATATAATTTATAATAACTTATATCGGCTTCATAATACGGTAACGTGATGGAAGCTGAACCAACTCTATAAATGAAGAAGACCCCGGGATGTGGTTGAAAGCTCCAAAAAGATATTGGGTGAATTTTACACATGGTTTCACCTGATGTCTTGTTTTTTAGTTTGTAATGACGGACATCAGTAGATTCTCTAAGATTTAGTGGCACAGACTTTGAGTAACCGTGTTTTAAGAGCCTTAAACTAAAGAATATATCAAATTAAGAAAGACAAGACCAACACGTCTACAGGCTCATTTCTAAATATTTGCCATCTAATAATTAAAGTGGAAATTGGAAGGCATTCAGACAGAAAACTTTAAATTCTTGACCATGATCTTCAAAGTTGGGATGGTCTCTCTGAAACAAGATGAATCATGTTAAAAAAATAACATTTAAAAATTGTAAGTTTAATTATTTGACTATATATTGGCTTAAAAGGAATGTATTTTGTGTTTTAATGTATAAAACATAGGAATTAGGCAAACCTGCAGCCTCTGTGCTTCCCAGCAGACGCTGAATGATCTCCTGCAGCGCTGCACCGTACTGCTCAAAGTCCTCCTCTCTCACAGTGAAGCCAATGTCAAAGGGGGCACTTATCTAGTCAGAGGAGAGGAAGACCATGCCGTTATCTGGAGGATTTTGGGTGACGCGGTGTAGTCGTGAGTGTGATTTCCACTCACTGTGATGTGATTGTCCTCCACGGGCTCACTAGGCTCCTCCATGACTTGGCGGCTGACTCTAGGAGGCTTCCCCTTGTTCTGTGGTTGACCCAGAGCAGAAAGATCTCATGATTGTAAGCAAAACACTTTCACATTAGTGGTTCAAATGCAGTAAATGAGATAACATACTGTAATTGCCAGGTCTTGAATAAAAGTCTATGATTTCACTATCCATACAGCCCTTAATTCATCGCATGTAAGAGTTAAAGAATGAATCCAAATGTGTTGAATGGCCGTTGGAGAGGAAGCATCTTACCTGAGGTTTTTGTGAAGGGCTGAGAAAGCTGGAGCCTGCACTGGTGGACTTGCACCACAAGGTCAGAGAGCACAACAGGAAGACGAGCAGACAGGTGTTTCTCTTCACAAACATGGTGGAGTTAAAGTCTCTGTCTGATCTACTGCACAAAGTACGATAATCTACAGTGTGAAGAGTTGAAAGGATTGATCTGCTACTCTGATATTGACGGCGATTAGTTCTCTTTCCTTCCTTTGTTGGGGAGCTTGTGGCTTCATACCTTTATATACCTTTCATTCCTCCATTTTGGTTTACACATGCATTAAATATAATAGTAACATGCAGTTGTATCTTGGTAGCATTGGACTGTTCAAATATTTAAATTGACAACAAAGTGGGCATTTCTCTGTTGTAACCTAATAGCAAGCCTCCTGGTCCTCTTATCTATTCAATGTGATGATGGAGACCATGGTATCGCTGTCATAGAGATGCTGATACCTGGGACTGCGTGTCTACAGGAACATGCCAGTATTGAGCTATTGTTCCCAGGACAAGTGCAATACACATGGAAATTACAACAAATAATGTTTACTCAGGGGAAAAAAATCTGCTTCATGTCAACACAGTTAGATATTAAGCTTAATACTGAACAGGCACACTGCTCAACAGTTAAGAACTCTCCTATAATGTGTCTTAAGTGCATCAAACTGAGGAATTTAACTAAAGCTGAGCCCATACATCTACATTTGATAAGATTAAAACTTGTAATGCTACCAATTTTTAAAATATACCTGTTTGAGATAAGCTAAAACAGAGCATTCTGATGCTTGATTAATCATTGTTCATATAATGCAATGTGTGATATCTGTGAAATCGTGATGTTTCATAACTTTATCAAATGAGACTTTTTCCAAACAGTATTTATTAATGTAATACTTTAAAGCCTTGTACAATTATTTAGCACAAAAAAGCTTAAGTGTCATACATGATGAGTGTTAGTCGGTCTATCTTGAAGATGAAAACCTCACACAGTTAAAATACAGGCATGCGTGTAACTCTTTACGACACTCTGAGGGGTGTGATCAAATAGCTTGAAGGCAGAAAAGATCAATTCGAGAAAAACCTTTAAGGATGAGTATTGTGTTTTTATGAATAAAACACAAATTACTTACATATTACTTTTATCTTTATATTGTTATTGCTTTTACTGTTTCTGTTTTTACCATGAAAAGTGCATTTAAATACCTTTTAAAGAGCTATACAAAATAAATGCATTATCATTATTATCATTACTTAGTATTAGAACTTCCTTCAAGGCATTAATGTCCAAGGTTTATACTCCAGGAGAGGCAAAGTGGTATACATTTCTAAATGCTGCACAGAGGACCTGATATTGACATGACCTCATGCTGGATATAATTAACATAAACCAGCTGAGAGGACGTACTGAATCTAACACCATATACTGACAGATGAAGAGGGAGGAAGCATCATCAGGGGCAAAGTTACAATCAAAGCTGCTCTGAAATACTTTGCACACATTTGGTCGGTCTAGCACAACAGAAACATTTGATTTCCTTGCTTTTGAGGCCTTGGAGCTTGGATCTGGTTGTAGTTTTCTTCCCAGGAGGTTGATGTTCACAAAAAACGTGAGACTGTGGACAGGCACAAACGTTTTTACCATTTCACTTCCACAGAATCTGGCTTTTCTTTGTTGTAGGCAATGCTGAGATCAGTTAAAAGATAAAGTTGCACATGAGACAGAAATAAATGAAACAGATAGTTACAGGTCATGAAGACTTTTTGGGGGGTTGAGAGAGAGAGAGAGAGAGAAAAAAAGGCCTCAAGGCTGAGCAGATTGGGACGGTATGATTGATGGATACTGTGTTTACATGTAAACGCCACTAGGTGGCCGTAAAGTCAGATTCTACTCGCAAGAGAAGAAAAACCAACGAAGAAGTCAGACAGTTACCACAGCATTACCCGAGCAATATAATAGTGTAGAAAACAAGTCGTGAACATGGATAAGAAGAAACCCTTCGCTGTGACTGCTACATCTGTGAGTTGCATCTTTATAAACATGTTATTGATTCCATGTGTGACATTAAATACACGATAACAACAGCTAACGTTAGCTAACCTCTCAGGCGACATGCTAGCATGTTGTGACTCAGCTTAGCTAGAAAATAAAACATTTGTTGTTAATTCGTTCCCTGTATTTCAGTAATAAATGATTTATTGCAGCTGGTGGACCTTAAAGCTGAACTGTACAGAAAGCAGGAACAATTCAAACAGGAAAAACTTGGGCATGGAAACACTGGTGCTGGATTCACATCAAAATGCAAAGTCAAGGTACAGTATGTGTGTTAATTTTGGGACATGTTTTTAGCTGTTTCTGTAGCTACAGATTGACTAACCAGGGTGTCGTGTGCTCATTGTCCTGTGTAGAAACCTAATGTCTGGACTAAACAAAACGATGGTGTTTCTGCAAGAGCTGAGAAAGACGCGGAGCAGCTGGCCGAGGAGCAGAGCAGCCTTGACACATCAAAGTGAGTTCAACACATCATGCAGTAGATTCACTGTGGTGAGCAAAAGCTCTGACTCCTCGTGTGTCTTCTCATAACAGACGCAAGTTGGAGGAGAAGGCCAAACTCTATGAGCAAATGATAAAAGGGGACTTTCCAGGTTGGTGGAGTATGAATGATATCTCCCCGGATGTTTAGTTGTACGACGGAATGTATTTACTTTGTGATCCTGTTGTCTTGCGATACCTCAGATGAAGAAACCGAGGGACTGTTCCTGGTTGATTTCACCCAGAAGATTATTGACCAAAGGAGAGAAACACAGAAGGAAACCGAAAGAGACATTGAGGAAAGAGACACCTCGTCCCCCGTCCCTCCTCCTCAAAACCCAGACGAGGAATGGTATCGTCAGATTCAATCAATTACATGTTTGATTTAGGAGATATAAAGTTGAGGCAGTATGCTATTTAAAAGTAGATACGTTAACTATATATACAAAAAAAACAACATTTACCAATCCCAGTAATTTATTTTAAACTAGTACCAATAACACCGCCACTACTAACCTCAAAAACACCTCTTTTAAATTACAACGTTCTAATAAAATAAGTGAAAATGTATTCATTACATAATTAAGATAATGCTTAAAGTATTAAACCTTTTAAAACTGCTGGTAAACTGTTCTCCTCTGCGTTGTTTCTCTGCAGGGTGGACTATGTGGACGCTTTGGGCCGATCTCGAAAATGCATGAAGAAAGACCTGCCAGGTTTTAAGAAAATGGACCAAGACATTCATGGACAAGGGTAAAAATGATACAAACACAAACTCTGTAATGGTTCAGGTGATGGTTTCTGGATGTTGGTGTCATACTGGGAACTGCAACTCTTTTGGTTTTGACTATTCCACGTAGAAACACTTCAGCTGATAAGACCTTACTGTCGGAGGACATGCGTCGAGAGCTGCAGAGGCAGGAGTGGGAGAGGGAGGAAGAGGAGGCTATGAAGAGGCCTGTAGGACCGATCCACTACGAGGATATCAGGGGACAAGGTTACTGTTAAATCATTTCTAAAACGCCTGTGCACACGTTTGAAACGAAGGGTTTTGGTTCGTAAGTCTTCTGCTGTAGAAATCATTTTGTGTGTGTCTGTTCATCTCAGAGGCTCGAGATCTCGGTGTCGGTTACTTTGCGTTCGCTCACGATGAAGAGCAGCGCAGAAAGCAGAGAGAAACTCTGGACATGCTGAGAGACCAGGTGAGCTGCCGATCTATGGACGGATGGAAACGCAGAAATATTTGTCTTTAGTGTGTGTGTCTTTTAAAAGTTCCCTCACCCCACACGACAAGCATACTCTTATATCCACAATGTACTGGACACACAGAAATATCTTGTCCATGTGCATCTTTGTTACGTCTTTGCTGTTTACAGAGTTCGCTCCATATTGCTACATACTTAAAGTCCTTGTGCACTTTATATATATATATATATATATATACAGTATATATATTTGATCAATAAAATCCATTTTGAGTGCAAACGGATGAATAATGTCCCTGTCAGTTTTTGCTCAGACCTTGTTTCTCTTTTACATCCGTCCTGCCCTTCAGACAACCAATCAGCGCACCAAGAGGGAACAACTGAAGGACAAGAGGCAGGCCATCCTGCGGGCCCGATTGACCAAAGTGAGGCAGAGGAAGAGGAACAAGGGCATGCTGGATGGCACTGAGGAGGAGAATGAAGGTTAGGATCCACAGCTACCTCAGATCAAACGCAGCCACGGCCTTTATTTGGTATCAAATAGTTGGAGCTATTTGCTTATAAAGTCTGTTTGCATACTGCAGTTCAATGGATTGTTTTGAATTCTTTGTCTTAGGAGGGGAGGACGAAGGTGAATTTATGGGACCCTCGCCTCCACCAGAGGACCCCCCAGAAGTAAGCACAGTAAAGAAGGTGGTAGTGGAGATCCAGGAAAGGAAGGACACCAAACCAGGAGTTCCTCATGTCAGAGAATGGGACAGAGGCAAAGGTAATCCTTATTATTTAATGGTCCATATTAAAAATTACATCATGACATGAAGGGACATGTCCAGCAAAAGTAGGACACGTACTTTTATGCTGTAATTCTAGGATGAAAAAGCAGTGGTGCAAAAGTCTGAGTAAATTAAAATACAACAGAAAATACAGAAAGTAATAATTGCTGAATTCCATTTAGCTGCTTCAGTTTCAGTGTCGTGGTGTTATGCATGCGAGCTCACTGTCAAACTGTCACGGACACTTAAATAGAGTCGAGCCATCGTTGATGTTCATTAACACCTGTGTTCTTCCTTATGCGACCAGTCAAAATAAAGTTAAGCACTTCAAATACTTTACAACCATCCTTTTACCCGTGCCTTTGGAAAGCTGGCGAAATTTGCAGTCAATGGTGAAAATGATTTGAAGGAAAATATGATTTTCATTATTTCGATAGAAACCTGCTCGACATTTCCGAGGGAATTTCTTAGAATTTTGCACAAACGTTTGTACATCATATACTAATTATGACTCGTATAAAGTCTAGTAGAATAAAATGATTAAAGGAACAGTGTGAAATATGCATAACCATGTTGTCATTAGTGTATAATGACCTGAAACTAAGAATGATTATGTTTTTATTTAGCTTTAAAAAAGTCCACCATCTTCAGCTGCCATTTTTCACTATTGAACACTGGCTCTAGTGAGAGACTTTCGCATTTTTTACATCACCTAAAAGTAGGGATGGCTACCGAAACTCTGTATTAAAAGATTGAATTATTGATGAGCTCCGACGTAACTGGTGCTTTTTATTAGTACTTTTTAATGTTTTGGTGTAATTTAACATCACTCTGAAGTGAGCATTTCCACTTCTTTCTCTGTCGGGCTGAGCTCCTCCAGCTGCACACGCAGTAAATTCAGGTGCTTCATCTCCACTGTCTTTAAGTTACCGTCCAATGTATGTGCTGTTGGAATGTGAGGTTATGGGTTAGAGAGTTAGAAGTATAGATATGATTGTGTCCGTGCCAGTGGTTAAGCTTTTTCAAGATTTAAAGAAAAGCTCTTTCTGTCCGTTGTCAAATGCTTGACTTCTTTAACTTCTTTTACTGTTTCTTGCAGAGTTTATGTTTGCTGAGTGGAAAAATCGGTGTCGCGATGAGCGAGAGTCCGATTTTGCACCTCCCTCTGCCTACTTTACTGAGGGGAAGAGAGGAAGACCAGGGAAGATTAAAACTCAGGAGAATAAATCCAAGATGTCCTTTAAGTGGACCAAAGGCCCAGAAGAAATTGAGAGCAAGGAGGAACCACAATCTCTGCCTAAAACGACTCCTCCACCTCCTTTACCTCCTTCACCTCCTCCACCTCAACAAAATCTTCCACCTCCATCACAACCACAGACTTCACCGCAGTCATCACCTTCCGATCACCCAGCAGCTTCAGCTCCTGCGTCTGCTCCTCCTTTTAATCCCGAGTATACCCCTGCTCCATTTTATCCTCCGTTTACTTCTCCTCAGTTTGCTGGACCACATCACCTGCCTCCTCCGTTTTCCCCACAATACCCAAACCAGTATCCACCCCAGTATCCAGCCCAGTATCCACCCCAGTATCCACCCCAGTATCCTCACCAGTATTTCCGCCAGTATCCCCACCAGTATTTCAACCAGTATGCACCCCAGTATGCACCCCAGTATCCACCTCAGCTGCAGTCTCAGCCTCAGCCTGAGCAGCTCCTGGAGCCTGTAGACCTCAGCCAGGCCAGACAGCCCACAGAGAATCTGGACGACATGCTGTCCTTCTACAGGAACATTACCTGATCTCTAAAATGTCATATTTAACGTGTAATTGCTTCATACTGAGAGTGTAAATACTGCTGTTTCCTTATTTTTGTTTTGTTTAGGAAATCACAGAAACAATAAAACACAACTTCTCAGCTCTTTGGAGTTTTAGAATTGAATAAATATCAGGAATTTAACTGGACATTGTTCTGACTTTTTTTGTTGAAAAACTTGGTAATTTTAGTAGTCTTAAGTATATAAAGCCTCCACCTCGTGAACTATTTAATAGCAGGGGGGCATGACATGAAGTGGTCTGTTTGGACATTCAGCTGCAGTATGAACATCTCCACCAGATGGACCTGTACGCCTCCATTGTGATCCATCTGAACTGTTGAAGGACATCATTCTAGTTCCGCAATTATTTTCATTGTCGATCAATCAGCTGATTATTTTCCCCATAAATGATCAATTGTTATGTTGTAAAATAGGGAAAACTCCCTCAAGATGACATCTTCAAATGTCTTACGTTGTCCTTCCAGCAATCCTTAACCCAAAGGCAGCAGGTGAAGTTGTGAGTGCATTTTGTTTCAGGTTTTTTTTTGTGTGAAATGAGTGCAAAAGGGTTTTACTGCACAGCTGAAGTGTAATCCATCAGTGAACTGAACCTCTTCATTGCTGCTCCTTGATGCCGGACCGGACTCATCCTGGTGTTCTTCATCACCTCCTCCCTCAGTCCTCCAACAGATCTGTGCCAGTTCCAGTCCCTGTGTATACACGAGCTGGTGAGTCTCCAACTTAACAATGTCAGTTCCTAGGTCCAGGGAAGATCATTTTAATTCAGTTTGAATAATTTCATCTCCTTCTCACATGCTCCTCACAGTGTTATCAGAGTGGCATCCAAATAATGAAAGTGGGTTAATTAATGCTTGAGAGGAACACATTCATCTTCAGCTTCATGCCACAAACTCAAAGCTGATATATTACCATGTGACTGGTGAATACCTTTTTTAAAAGCACCGTGTAATGTACAGACGGAATCTATTGCAGTAAAAGATGATAGAATAACTTACCACGGTCTTGTGCTGTTAAGCAATATAACCTCAATGCACATCAAAGCAACTATATTGACGAAACAGTCGCCTCCTACTGGCGGAGCATCTGAGTCCTGTGCCTGATGGCAGGATCAATTACATCGATAAAGTACATTCAGGCAGAAGTCTTCAGATTACATAAGACAATATTTCTACCAGTGTGTGTTTAAATGTGCTTCAATTGTCTTACATTGGCCTCCGCCCCTGTCTTGGTCCACAGGATCCATGTGGGACCTGAAACACGTCAGGAAACAATAGAGGAGCAACTCAGAGGAGTTGATCGTTTTCAGTATTTTGCTGAATAAGAGCTGGAACTACAATTTGACCACAGAGCAAAGACCAGATCACCCCATTATCCTCTAAATTAGCTATTTGGCATGATGTCTGGGTCACTTGTTTCCTCACTCCAGCAGGAGAACAGGTAGTTTGGATCTCTGTGGGTCTCTTTTTGGTGGTTCTCTTCCTGTTGTGGTGGATGTTTGACCCCACTATGACCTTAAAAACTGTGTTTATTTCCATATTTGTTCCTGCAGCCTCAAGTTAGACCAGTTCAACCAGAGTCAGAAATACACACTCCGATAGCTTCAGCACTGTCCCTCTGGTAAGTGTGTGTGTGTTTATGTATGTTTTTAAGTGTTTTTTTGTGAACTAACATGTTTGTTTTGAGTTTTCTGAAGCCAATTTGCTGCCTGAGTAAATTGACTGCCCCAGAGGTGAGATGATGTTGATACAGTGACAAGACCTCCCAGAGTGATAGTCATACAGGGATTTAAATATGCTCTTACATGCATACAAACTGCAGTACAGACTGCAATACTCATAACAATAAAGAAAGGCCCTTTTTAATGAGGTTTAGAACAGAATAAAGTAGCACTTACAACAGCACACAGAGGCAGTTAGGCCACGTTGCTCCAGACTGAAATATCTCAATATCTATTGGATGATTTTCCATTCATTTTTGTTCAGACTTCCATGGTTCCCAGAGGAAACACAGTATGTTTATTTGCTTTTAAAAAGATAGTTATAGATAGTAAGACACAATCTTACATCTAAAGTAAGACAGAAAATAATAAAATAAAATGTGGGCAGGAGCAACATTATCCAAAGCAGTGATGTGACTCTTGTAGCGCCGCTATCAGGCTAACATTTGTGGTTTTGAGTTTAATGTTTAAATGGATGGCCATGAAATTACACACAAAGTCCATGTCAAGAATCCAAATTGTCAATGTTAAATGCTAATGCTAAACTAAGATGGTGAACATAGTAAACATTATACATGCTAAACATCAGAATGTTAGCGATAAATTGCATGCTTGTTAGCATTATGACGTTAGCATTTAGCTCAAAGCACTGCAGAGTTGCTAGCAAGGCTGTAAACCCCTCATGCACAATATGTACAGGAACCTGTACATAAGTCCAAACAGCAACTGTTTGGACTTATAGAACAAACAGTTGCTGTAGCGCTCAGAGCAGCTTCTTTTTGCTGACCGTCAACTCTGCACTGAGGAGAGCAAGAAACCTCTAATAACTAACATAGACTTAAGAAAAATGTGCATCTTCTCAGCTTAATTTCACTTGCTGACTCAACGCTTTGATGAGTCTAATCACTTATTAGGGACAGGAAGGAGTGTCTCAGTGACAGATCTGCCCTCCTCTCAGGGAGCAGCTGCACTGACAAATCATCTCTGCATTTATTTGTGGCAGTTTAATCCCACTGTGGCTGAGGAAAATGGCTACCTGCTGTTTTCATAATAGAAATTGAATGACCTTCAGCCTGTGGAAACGACTTTAGATCTAATGTGATTTTTCCAAGTAGTTTCTTTTTATTAATACATTTTTGCAAAGCATTATTTGTTTGACCAGCAGTCATGTATGCACTGTTCAGATCTACTTTCTCACACACACACACACACACGCACACACACACACACACACACACACACACACACACACACACACACAC